CCGGCTCGTCCGGGAGGGCCCAGGGCTCCATCACCGCCATGCCCCTCAGGAAGGGGAACCACCGGGCATGCGGACTGTCCGGAGCCACCAGGATCACCGACCTCTTCTCCTGTTCGATCCTCCGCAGCAGGACCGGCAGGAGACGCACAGGTGGGAAAGCGTACAGCAGGCCGCCTGGCCAGGGGTAATGAGCCAGAGCGTCCACGCCTAAGGGCGGCTCGTCCGCGGCCCTTAAGGCGAACCAGGACGGGCACTGTGCGTTCTCTGCACTGGCGAAAAGGTCGACCGCTGGACGGCCGAACCTCCGCCAGATCTCCGCAGCTACCCGCGGGGCCAGGCCCCACTCGTCCTGGAGCGGGCCCCCCCTGGACATCCTGTCGGCCCCCACGTTCCGGACCCCCGGGACGTGGCGCGCCCTGAGAGACAGGAGGTGAAGCGCCGCCTACAGCAGCGTCACTGTCGCCATGCGATGGAGAGCGGGGGACCTGGTGCCCCCCTGCCTGTTCAGATAGGAGACCACTGTGGTGTTGTCTGAGCGAACCATCACGTGTCTCCCCTGCAGCTGAGGAGCAAAGTGCAGCAGTACTCTGTGTACTGCCTCCATCTCCAGCAGGTCGATGTGACGGGTTGAGTCCGACCAGCAGCCTCCTACAGAGCTCTGGCCGAGGACCCCGCCCCATCCTTCGAGCGACGCGTTTGTGAACACCTCCACGTGAGACACGGCGCAGGCTAGAGTCACTCCGTCCCGCAATAGACCCGGAGTGAGCCAGAACCTGATGTCCGAAGCTGCCACTTGGGGAACCCAGATCAGCCTCCCCCCGTCCTGGGAGGGGTGAAGCCTGAGGCGCGAGAACCACCTCTGAAAATTTCTCATGTGGAGCAGGCCTAGCCGCACTACAGCATGAGCCGCCGCCATCATTCCCAGCAGGGACCTGAGGCGCCGAGCGGGGACTCTGGGGCCCGCCAGAACCTCCCGGGCCAGACGGGTAATATTCATCCGTCTGTCCACGGACAATGCAGCACGGAATGTCACAGAGTCTAGCTGCAGGCCGAGATAAATCATGCGTTGGGCTGGCTGCAGCTTGCTCTTCTCCCTGTTCACCACAAAGCCCAGGCGCTGTATGTGGGACAGGACCCAGTGCGTGTGGCTCACGGCCACTTCTCTGGATGAGGCCAGAATTAACCAGTCGTCTATATAGGTTAATATTCTTACCCCCGCGCGTCTGAGCGGCTCCAGAGCTGCTTCCACACATTTGGAAAAAGTCCGAGGCGCGAGTGCGTACCCGAAGGGTAGACGGCAGTACTCGTAATTCCTCTCTCCCACTGCGAAGCGCAGAAACCTCCTGTGTTCTGGCACTATGGGCACGTGGAAGTACGCATCTGTCAGGTCTATGGATGTCATCCAGTCTCCCTCCCTGACACACTCGAGGAGCTGCCTTGTGGACAGCATCCGAAACTGCCGTTTGGAAATGCACTCGTTTAACACGCGCAGATCCAGAATGGGACGCACCCCGCCTGACTTCTTTGGCACTAAGAAGTAAGGGGAGTACAGCCCCCTGGTGGCGTCCTGCGGGTCTACCTCCACTGCTGCGCCTCGACTCAGCAGAGAGGAGACCTCCGCTTGTAGTGCCTCTATCGATCCCCGTACCTGAGAGCGTACTTCCCGTACGCCTCGGAATGGTGGTGGCTTTCAGGAAAATTTGCAGTGCGTAACCCCTGCGCAAAGTTTTCTCCAGCCAAATATCTGTCAGTAGGCCCTGCTCCCCCCAGATGCTGTAGAAGTCTGTGAGGGGCGGAACGGGAGCTGGAACACGAGACGTCACGGCCCCGCCCTCTCCTGGTGTTCCTAGCAGGGAGGGGGGGTGGCTGAAAGGGCCGGGGGGGCCCCTGCGTCACACCGTGAGCGCCGGGGGCGGTCACGTGTTCTGTAGGCCCGACGTCATAAGTACGGGACTGCTCACCACACGTGACTCGGCTGCTGTGCCCCCCCCTGGCTCTTGCCTCATGGAGGGGGGGGCGAGCCCCTGGAGTGGGAAACCCCGTGTTAGCCTCGTAGCTCGGAGATGCTAACACGCGTTCGGCCGAAGCACACACATCATTACTCACCAGATCCCTCCGCCTGCCTCTCTGGGAGGGCCTAGCATGAACCCGTGAATCGGAGCTCGTGGCCCGCGTAGCGCGCTGCACGCCCTTCTCTGGGGGCTGCAGGCCTAGCGGCGCCACGTTATATGCTCGAAAAGTACCACAAACAGATTTCAGATCATTTGACATGTTACATACCCCCAAATGAGACTCAGACAGCGAGTACTGATGAAATGCCGGTCGGCTTTTATTGAACGAATTCTTACCGCCCCGACCTCCTCTGCCATAGGGAGGTCGGCGGTGGGTACGTTGGTCCCGCGAGCCTCCCGTGTGTCTGTCTGGACCTGGGGGCCTCGTCGCTGGGGGACGATGAGCCACGGAGCGTAGATATGGCCCGGGGCGCCTGCCGGGCGAGCGCTCCCTGCCTCTGTCTCGGCTCCGCGCTGGAGGGCGGGCCTCGCGCCTCGTTGCTAAATGCTGGGCTAGGCTAGCAGAGTCCTTAGTTGCGGTGTCCAGCCTAGTCATCAGGGTCTGCATCTCCGGACCGAAGAGCGACGTCTGGGAGATGGGCAGGTCCAGCAGCTGCCTCTTCTCCGCCTCTCTGATGTTAGCAAGCCCAAGCCAGAGGTGCCTGGCCCCAACTTGTGCTGCTGCCATGGTGCGGCCACCATCGACAGCTAGCGCCTGGCACATGCGCAGGATCGCCGCTGAAGTGGTCCTCGCCTGAGATAAGGTGTCTCCACTGAGCGCCTGGCCAGAAGAGAGCGACCTATCCAGGGCCCCGGTGATGAAGGCCATGTTGTTCGCCACAGCGACGACCTGTGCCGCATTGGCGTAACATCTGTCGTGCATCGCCAAAGACATCCTGTCCCGCTCGGAGGGAAGGAAAGGTCTGGTGCCGGGCCACACGGATGCGGAGGGGTGCAGGGCCACTCGAACCGAATCCTCGATGTCCGGGACCCCGCCGGTCCAGGACCAGTCCTGCACGTTGCAGTACACGCCGTACCCCAAAGCGGGCCTCTTGGCCGCTAGGGGCTTTGGCCACTCACGTGTCGCGTAATGGACGATCGGGTCCATCCGCGGGCACAACGTGGGCTGCGTCCTCCTCCTCCCTCGAGTGGTGGCGTAACCAGAGGTGAAGTCCTCCACCCTCTGGTTCGGTTGCGGTGGCAGGGGCGCATCCATGATGGCCGCCGCCGTGGAGTAGAGCCTAGGCATGTGGTCCAGCGGGAAGCGGTCCGGCTCCGGGTTGGACACCACCTCGTCCAGCGTGAGGAGAGAGCCGACCTCCGAAACCTCTCCGTCCTCGGAGTCACCCCACTCCGCGGGCACGGGTGGAAGGTCGAGAGGGGCCCAGTCAATCACAGACTCCTCGTCCTGAGAGGAGTCCGGACGGGGCGCTGTAGCGGCAAAGAACGCGCGCCTGCGTTCACTCTCCTCCCTGGGGAGAGCGAGACACGAGGCGCAGGTGGCGCTCAACGCCGCATGGCCCGAACCCAGGCACACGAAGCAGCTGGAGTGCTGGTCCTTGCGCTGGAGCTTGACCCGACAAGTCGAGCAACGACGACGTCCGACGCCGGATGGCGAAGGGGAACTCGGACGAGCATCAGAAGACATCTTTTTCTCTGGTAAAATTGAACGGTAGATCTCAATCGGCGCCAGAGTGAAAGAGGGGGTGCGGCCTTGTGCAGGGGCATTTATAGAGGAAGGTGGCTGGTGATTGGAGCAAATTATTTTGATCTCTCTGGCGTGTGACCTGGGGGTCACGAGTGATATCCCACTAGCGAAGTCCTAAGGGACGTAGCACCATGACGTAGAACTTGTATTTGCCTCTTATGATTTACGAACCTGTGTGCCTTAGAGCGCTTTTTAATTTATTTGGGCACTCTGCCCTGGCGTTGCTGGTCCTTTTCTTTTAATTTTGTTGTTATTTTAGAGCGCGTCTGCCTCCACTTGCCACAGATGCGTGCGTGTGAAATTTTGTCAAGTCTTCTGTTTTTCGGAGTGCTTTAACGTTTGCTCTCTGTTCGGTTTGTTGCTTGTTACACGCTGTGGTTCAGAGTTGTGTGTGGGTCCTCTGCCCCACCTGGCTCTTTCCTTGGCACACGTTGTGCGTGCGGGCCTTATAGATCCATGGTGCGGGTGTTCGCAATTTTGTCAGGTCTTCTGTTTTCAGATTAGACTGACGTTTGCATTTTCTATTGACAGTTCCACTGTTCGCTCTCAGTTCAGTAATATTTGATTTACGCTGTGTTTACTGCGGGCATTTGTATTTCTGGTGGCCTGCGCGCTCCACCTGATCTTTCGTTGCCTATTATTTACTGCCTTGGTTATTTGTGGCGTTATCAGCCTGACCCGACTCTGTATTTGCACTGCTCCGCCTATTTCGGGCACTTGTTTCAGAGTCGCTGTGCTGTCGTGGGTGTATGGCACTGATGCCGGGTAATGACGGCCATGACCTCTGCCCTGCGTGCCTGGGTATCGGGCATTTGAGACAGGGTCTGTCGGTGGACGCCTGCTCCAATTGTGCCATAATGCCACTCGCATGGACTGTCTGGTGGCACTGGATCCGAATGGTGGTTCGTCAGAAGTGCCGTCCTGTCAGCCACCCGTTGCTCAGCTTACTGTCTGTGTCCGCTGCTGGCTCGGGTGAGCAGAGTCCCCATTGCTTTACAGATAGGTGCGTATGTTCTTACTCAATATTTCACTCATTTAATAAATGCAAGCCGGCACTGTGGTTTTTGTTCATTTTGTACTGCTGTGTGTGTTGTGGTTGCTTTGACTTTTCTGACCCACGTGCCATAGCTACCACGTACCACCTGACTGTCACCAACCAACCTGGTGTCCCGCACAATCACTGCACCTGCGTTAATGGGTAGGCAGGAGCATAAAATGGAAGCCATGAGCAAAGGGAAGCCATGAGCCACAGGAAAGTGGCAGAGATGCTGAGAACCACAGCAGCGCGGAGGAACAGCAGAACGAGCGGGTTCCATCAAGCATACGGAAGACACCGCGACGTGACCCACACAGCGGCGGGGCTCATACTCCGCCTGCGCAGTAAGTAGCGGTTCAAGACGCGTTATCTTTCATAGCCTTTGGCTACGTAGTGTGCTTTGTTTCTGCTCCAGTGTGCTCTCTCCCCCCTGAACCCTCAGCTCAAGTCCAGAGCGGCGGCCGCATACGCACTGGGAATAAGCGCCGTCAAGGCACCCCACCTGTGCAGCCTGGAGTAGCCGCAGGTCGCTGAGTGGGGCCTCTGGCTGCCTTCCAGTCTCCGCCACTGGGGACAACGCCCTCGGAGCCTCCACACCAGAGGTTTCCAACTTTTAATGACAGACTTTGAGAACTTTTAGAACCTTTTACCATTTTCATTTACTTATAATAAATAATATATTTTAATTGAGTTGTCTCATTTTGGGAACACCACCACCGCTCTCATCCCGTTAATTGGTTCATTCGGCCAATCGACCCCCCACCCCCTCCATTACATAAACATGAATTGAACTTGTACAGAGACTAATGAGGGTTAAGACCAAGATACACCAATGGTTGGATAGATGGATTTGTTGTGTTCCGATATGTTGGAAGTGGTTGGGATTTCTCATGCCGCGTTGGAAGGGTCACGTGCCGTAGCTACTACGTACCACCTGACTGTCACCAACCAACCAGGTGTCCCTCACAATCACTGCACCTGCGTTAATGGGTATGCAGGAGCATAAAATAGAAGCCACAAGCAGAGGGAAGCCATGAACGGCGTTTTGAAGAGAATGTTGTAATCCCACACCCAACCACATGATGGCGATCTCAAAGGAGTTGCTTGAGAAACCAAAGCGGTCCCATTTACGCTAGATACTGTTGTAGAATTACATACCCCAATGAAGGAGAAAGCTCAAAAGTATTTGTCTTAATTCAGGAGCGTAAGTTTATTGTACACACGTGCGGAGAGCTAACATATACAAAAGGCAGCATACACCAGCTCTGGCGCGCAGAGCTCAGGTTCCTGTTTACATAGATACACATGAAAGACAGTCACGCCCACAACAGATGGGAGGGGGCCACCAGTACAGGAGGCGCATAGGGAGCGTAGGCGCCATGCCCGTGGTGAGGCAATCAGACAGTGGCATGGAGGTGCAAACAGACAGACAATGGTCATGCAGGATGTAGAGAGGCAGGCATACAGATGCAAGATGCGAAAGGGACAGGGGTGAGACAGTGATTTGCATCATTGTCTGGCGGTGCGGGGAGGACTGGCTCCTTCCTGCAGGTTAGCTGGATAGAGCAGCAGGGGGGAGTGAGTTGGCGTCCCCGAGTCACAGGCAGATTGCCATCACAATACTTTCTGTGAGATCGCCATCACATGGTTGGTTGTGAGATTACAACAGTCTCTTCAAAACTACGTAAGGGGAACGCACGAGTGGACGAGCCACTGGCGTGCAAGTATTCGCTAGGCTTTTGACTCTTTAGACCAGGGGTAACCAACGCGGTGCCGTAAGGACCAGATGAGTCGCCTGCTGGCCTGTTCTAAAAATGGCTCAAATAGCAGCACTAAAGCCTAGTGGAGTCGCGCGGTGCGGAGCTTAGGGTTGCGCGTGTATCCCCGCAAGGCCCTTACGTAGTCTGCCTCGCACGCTCGAAATTACGCAGACAAGCTCCGCTGTGATTGGTCCGTGTGTGTTTTGGGCGGAAGCATGAAGTGGCTGCAGGAGCATGGACGAGGCACTTCGGAGCAGACTGCATCGAAGGAATAGTTTGGGCTCATGGCTCAGAGCCTGATATACGCGGAGACTGTGGACGAGAGTTCTGTTGGATATCTAACAACTTCTAAACTAAGTCGTTTGTTTTGCACTGTTCCTGTCTTGAATCGTAGCTTATCGCGTCTGTTGCATTCCTCCTGCACTTGTAAATAGTTCATATTTGTTTCAGATATTGTAACTTTGACAAAACAAAAACAGTGGGTGAGGAAGTTGTTCATGTTGTCATTATGTTCCAACAGCGTGGGACGCCCTGCAGGTGCTTCTTGCTGACGATCTGTCGTTAGACCAGTAGGACACAGGTGAGTCGCAGGTAAGGTGGGCTTATCACGTGTTGCGTCACGTCTACGGTTTGGACTTGGAGTCTGATGAAGTGGAATTTGACATCAACCACTGGGATCAAGCTCTCGTGCCAGAGGCCGGCATGGACGATGACGCGGACTGGGAGGACTGGGACGCCTCCCCCATGGACGTTTTCTGGGATGAGAACAGTGACTGGGACGATGCACTTGTCCCAGACGATGAAGAGGACTACCAGGACACGAAGAGTGAGGAGGAAGACCAGGACACAGAGGGTGAAGAGGACAACCAGACTGTGCCGGAATGGTCCCCTTCGTCTCCCAGTCCAGACCTCGTGCCCTCCCGTCTCCCTGTGAGCTTCCTGGACTTTTAGCCCCTAGCAGGGGCCAGGCGTCACAGGGACGAAGAGGAGGATGAAGAGGACAACCAGACGGTGCCGGAATGGTCCCCTTCGTCTCCCAGTCCAGACCTCGTGCCCTCCCGTCCCCCTGTGAGCTTCCAGGACTTTGTGCCCCTAACAAGGGCCAGGGACGAAGAGGAGGAGCCCATCTCAAAGAGGCCACGGTTTTCCTACGACGAGGACATCTTTGAGGAGCCCACCCTCTCCGACTCTGCTGGGACGTTCGAAGGCTTCACCCGATACTTCCTCCTGCCCCAAGACTCCGACTCAGAGTAGGACTGAAGATCAACCTGAGCCTGAGACTGAGCACCTGGAGGAGAGAAGGCAGCACTTATTTCTACAGCACTTTAGACAGCCAGAGGAGGTCACAAAGGGCTTCACATGGGCCACACACTCCACCTTCAGCAGCGCCCAATTTCACCTCTGGACATTTGATTGATTTATTGATTGTGCAAAGTGTTGACACTTTGACTTTAAACACAAAAAGTAGTTTTTTTCTGGGACAAGGGTTTCCAACCTGTTGAGAAATAGTGTTAGATGTTTCCATATAAAAGATAAACCATTCTCCGCATGTATTACAAACCATGATGTCACTGAGTACCTTTGGAGCAGCATTTGTAGATTCCCTGAGCCCTTTCACAGGCCACTTTGAAAGAGCTGGTGAGCCACTGGTAGCTCCTGTGCTGTAGGTTGATGACCCTTGTTCTAGTATTAGTAGTATTTTGTTTCGAGAAAGGAGAAGGCAAAGAAAACGATGTAGGACTTCCATAAAGATGACATTTGTTCACAGTAGAAACACATTGAGCATGAGCAGTAAGTAAATAGATGAAGCTGATGTGAGCTGAGATCTTCAGCCTCACTCTGTCCTCCATCGTACTCCTTGCTTTCTCCTCTGGGGAGTTGCCTGATAACCGGTCCTTAAACTTTATACATATAAAGTTTGTTGATTTCTTTATTTAAGGTTGTTGGTGCAATACCCACTCCTTAGCTGTTTTGTTTTTTTTTTTTTTTATTAAAGGAAAGGAATAGTATGTAGGAACGTAACAAACACAGATCAACTTTGACAGAACTAAAACGACTCAATGACTTGAGAATGGATGAAAAGAGCTTAAGCTGGCTCTAGTGTGGTTTCCTGCATAGTACCCCTGGCCTTGTGTTCACTCTAGTGCAGGGCTGCCCAAGCTGGGGCCCATGGGCCACATTGGTCCCTCTGTGGGGTCTAATGTGGTCCTGAAGGGGTGGTGACATTAGGAAGGATCCTCTGTTTCCTTCAAAAGACCAAATGAATGAAGGTTTAATTGTACCTGTCTGCTGCTCTAATAAACCTGTTGATCAGCACACTATTAGCTTTGGCTCTCAGAACATCAAAATAATTTTGTCCCACGGATCAGAAGTTTGGCCACCACTGCTCTAGAGCTTAGGAGGGTTAGCAGGAGAGAAGGTAGAGCGCTATCTACAGGGTTGGTGGTGTGATCCCTCCTCTTTTCATTGTCAAATGATTTCAATGATTCATATTTTATTCATCTGCTCCTTCTGCAAGTCTAGTTGATTAATCCTAGTTTTTTGTTAACATCAAATGTTGCGTTTTATTTATATATGTATGTGGCCATACCTGCATGTGAAAGCCAGATCCCATCAGACCTCTGAAGCTGTGCAGGGCAGGATCTGGTTAGTACTGTGATAGGAGACCTCTGGGAACACCAGGTGCCACAGTGGGGCGGCTGTAAAGTGCAAAACTGTTGTGTCCTTAGGCAAGACACTTAACCCACATTGCCTAGAATGAGGCTGATTTGAGTAAATGGTTGGTGGTGGTCTGAGGCTGATGGCACATACTAGTTGCCTTGTTTCTGTCAGTGTGCCCCAGGGCAACTATGGCTACAGTAGTAGTTTATCACCGCCGTGTATGGAGTGAAAGAAAAATGTCATGTGCAACGTCTTCATCTCCTTAAAAGCACTTTATAAAACACATTTATTATTATTATTATTATTATTAAATACTATCATTTGTTGAACAGGAACACTGCTGTCAGACAAAGCCTGCAGCTAATGTGACACAGAGTATATACAGTATTTTACAAACACAAATATGAAGTTATAATGTCTCCTTCACTCACTCATACACATACAACATTTAGAACTTAAGTGTTCATAACGTGTCGCAGTGGAGTCTCTGTGGAGATGAGACTTTGACTTTATATGTTGATGAGAACATGTGGAGATTTGGGTCTGTCAGCTTTGACAGCACTCAAAAAGACACGTACATATCATCATGTTAGATAGTTCTTATAAAGTCCTATTATATGAGCACATGAGACTTTAACTGACCCTGAGTCATCGTCAGAGATGTCTTTAAGTCTGTTTTCAGATTTGTTTTTCCAGTTGGAGACAGGAGTCCGCAGCATCCAGCATGTCCCGGTAAGTCAGCCTCAAATCGGTATTGAACTCACCATGAAAGAACGACTCAGTCTGTTCCCACTGTTCACAGATGGAGCTGCCCCCGATGGAGCTGCCCCCGATGGAGCTGCCCCCGATGGAGCTGCCCCCAATGGAGCTGCCCCCGATGGAGCTGCCCCTGATGGAGCTGTCAAAAGGAGCATCAGTGAAGCACCACTCTCCACATCAGAGGAAGATGAACAAATCCACACAGACTTGACTCATTCCCAGTGAGGAGCCTCCTGTGTCGTCTGCTCCTCTACTGAACTACAGTCTTAAAACACATTGGTTTGATTAAGAAGGAAACCTGAGGAAGACCTCCAGAGAACTCTGAAGCCACTGGAATGAGACGATTTGCAGCCGAATGTGAAGCAGCTGGAGTGAAAATAAGTCCCTCCAAATCCAAGGCCTTAGTTCTGGACTAGTGGAGGACTTTCCCTCTTCAGCTTGAGTTTGCACTATCACTATACGTGCCAGACTCAAACTAACATGTCATGATCTGCAATATTTGCTTTTCATTACAGGAACTAAAGTCCAGTGTTGGAAAAGTCCTCCTCTTCATCTCTGCCACGTTTTCTTCAACTACAATGTACTTCCAGCTCCAGCCACATGTAGTCCACAGAACACAGATCCACATGTGTAAGTCAATATCTGAGAAAACAGCTGTTCACTTTGTAGTTGTACATTAGAATAAACTTATTTGACCAAATGTAGGATCTATTCTTGTGAGAGGGACCTGTGGATGCTGCTGTCCACATCAGGAAGAGGGGAACAAAGCCTGCTACAAAGAGGCCAGACTCATCCCAAGTGAGAGGACCTCCTGAAGGCCTTGGACCAACGGTGAGCTGTGTGTTCTTCCTTTGACCCTGTGATTTTGAAATCACAGGGTCGAAGAAAGCTGTGTTTAAATATCTTTGAATTCCTTTTTAGGGGTGATCTAATATGGTGTTATTTCTGTTTTAAAACTACACAAACTGCTATCCCCTTCTACGAGTCATCAATCCCCTTACAGTCGCTATTCACCCACTATTGACCCAAGAGACCAGTGGTTTGATAAGACTGAAGCCAAGCGCACTCCTAACCCGTGAAAGCCTTTTGGGCACAAAGAAGGCTTCAGCACCACGGACAGCAACACCCTTGGCACCTGACCACAGCCCAGCAGTACTAGTCTATGCTGAGAGGCACCGAGACTAGAATCTCCAACACAAGTGAGATAGATAGATAGCTTTTATTACAGACTCGTAGTCCAAAACACAAAAAATAGACAAGACACAACACACTAAAAACAGACAACATAAAACAATTAAAAGTCCCCAAATCTCTTTAGAGGAGGCATCTATACCAGTGTTTCCACAGTGCAGAGGTATAACGAACATCACTGTATGCTCTACTCGTCAACACTAAAATCATCATATTTGCACTATTGTCCAGGCGACACATAAACTTGTACATTAGGTTCCTCAAGTTGGCCTGCAGTGAGTTCACTTGACAGGACACAAAAAGTTCAGAAGCGCTGCTCCATCTGGGCCTTTTTAGCAACAGTCTGAAGGCATCGTTGTAGGCCACTTTCAGTCTCTGTAGGCTGGACTTTTTATAGTTCACCCACAGATGAGCGGTGTAAAGCGGGGTGCAGTATGCCCGAAACAAAGCCACTTTTACTGCATTAGAACAGTGTCCAAATTTACGCAACAAAATATTAGCCTGGGCGTACAGCATACGGCACTGTCGATACATATCCTCATCGTCTGACAGACGATCTGTCAGGATATGACCAAGATATTTCACCGTGCTTTCAGTTTTTAGGATGTTTCCAGATAGCTTAAAGTCAGGAAACACCAGGGCTTGGTCCTCTTTGGTTTGACAGGTCATTATGACACTTTTCCTTTCATTATATTTGATATTGTTTTGTTCACCGTACGCCGAACACACATCAAGCAGCTGCTGGAGACCAGCTGAACTCTGACTGAAAATCACCAGGTCATCAGCATACATCTCGTGGTTGACGATGTTATCCCCAGCGACACACCCTGTTCTACACCAGTTTAATTCTTTAGAAAGGTCATTCATATAAAAATTAAATAAAATTGGAGACAGCAAACTCCCTTGTCTCACACCATTGTTGACCTGAAAGGGTGTAGATACACAGTTATCCCATTTGACCACCAGAGTCTGATGGGCATACCAGTAAGACAGGCAACGAACTACATATTTAGGAACATTGGCTTGACATAGTTTGTGAAACAATTTGGCATGGTTAACACGGTCAAAAGCCTTGGAGGCATCTAAAAAACACATAAAAACAGTGGATTGTCTACTTTTATATTTACTTAACAATTCTTTTAAGCTAAGAACAGCAGCAAATCTTCATGGGGATTATGATTCCAACAGCGTCATTGTTGTCATTGTCCTGTCTTATTGTGTCTGTGCAGGAAAAGAAATCTGCAGATGAGAGCGCTTGATTGGGGATGGTGTGTAGACCGAAGAAAGAGGCCTTGCCCTCTCCAGGTGGTGTAGATGTCCTTCTGCGAGGGGAGGAGTTCCAGTATCTCAGGTCTTGTTCAGTGTGATGGAAGGAGCAGCTTCTGCAGTCGCTCTATGGGACTGTTGTGGTGAAGAGAGAGTGAGGAGTTGGCCTGGGATCACCTCATCCAGCTTTAGCAGGTGAAGGAGGAAGTCTGGGCCTCTCTGCTCAGACTGCTGCCTCCATGACCTGGCCCAGGTTAAAGTGGAAGAAAGTGTGTAGATGGATGACTCCAGACGAGCCCAGGACAAGTGACCGAGGGACGGAGAAAGTTCAATAGAAGACCGCACTAAGGGAATCCATATGTAGTCACATTAAACAGAAAAACCAAACAAGTCAGATTCAGTTTGAGTTGTTGAGCTTCATTTCTTATTTAAATATCAGAATGTTTGTGTTGAAGTGCAGTGTAACATCAGCCCAGCAGAGGGCAGTCACACGTTCATACAGTCAACCAGAAGTTTACATTCACTGAGGCAAAAAGTTTTTCACATTTCCTGATATTTATTACAAGTAAAACTCTCATTCCATCCTATTATATTTTGAATCTATTTAATGTTTGATGCATAACTTCAGAGAGTCAGAGGTTTTCATACACAAGGTAAATGCTTGGACGAATTGACTTCTGACAGTAAATTGGTGGAAGTTTGGCTCCTGACAGAACTGGGTCAGTTTGACCAGTGATGAAGCGGTTTGTTGTGGTTTCATAGTCTAGTGCCCCAGCTTTAAAGTGCATGTGACAAGCAGAAGCGGGGTACCCTTGGAACGCCACTGGTGACAAGCTACATTTTAATATTCACAAAACACAGTTAAGAGTTTTTCCATTTTCTAATTGTATGATTTTACTTCTTGCTTGTAAACGATGACATCACAAGTAGGATAATAGCCAACGGGGACAAAACTCCAATGTGCTATGTGTTTCTACAATCTTTATGATACAGATGTATTTTAATCAAATGAAGTGTCTGCACTCAATAATACAATACGTTCTATTGAAAGCAGGCGCCAATCCACCAGAAAATAACAAAATTTGAAAATTGGTAAAAACTAAAATTTTGTCTAATAGCTCACATTAGTTACGTGAAGGGAAATATATCAAGAAGTATATCGGTGATAAATCAGGCAAAGCAGTTTATGAATAAAAAAGGTATTCCCGGGCCAGCTGAGAGACATAGTCCCTCCAGCGTGTCCTGGGTCTTCCCTGGGGTCTCCTCCCTGGTTTCTCCTCCCTGGTTTCTCCTCCCCGGTTTCTCCTCCCCGGGGTCTCCTCCCCGGGGAGGCATCCGGACATTTGCCCAAGCCACCAACTGGTTCATCTTGACGTGGAGAAGCAGCGGCTCTACTCCGAGCTTCCCCCGTGTGACTGAGCTCCTCACCCTATCTCTAAGGGAGCACCCTGCCACTCTGCGGAGGAAGCTCATTTCAACCGCTTGTATCCACGATCTCGTTCTTTCGGTCATTACCCAAAGCTCAGGCCCATAGTTGAGGGAGGGAACGAAGATTGACGGTAAATCGAGAGATTTGCAGTTTGGCTCAGCTCCCGCTTCACCAGAACGGTCCGATACAGCGACCGCATTGCTGCACTGATCCACCTGTCAATCTCATATAATGGAGTCCAGTTTACACATGGTTTGTAGTCCATGTCAGCGGTGCAGTATGTCCTCTTCATCGCCTGGCTCCCGACTACAGCCAGTCTCACAATGTTAATAGGAATCCCATCACGTCAAGACCATAGACTGTAAATATTAACACATGTAGTGACGCCAATCTCTATCGTTGAAACTTATGTGTGATCACTTTTCCCTCTTGCCGACGTTTTCAAAATGGGTGCGAGAAGCCTTTCCTGCAGGAAAATGATAAACACTTTTGGAGTGGAGGCTGTATCATGAGTGCATGCTTTAGCGACGGTCGGCACTAGATCATATACGGAATCGGGACAAAACCGGAAGTATCAATCCTACTTTCTAATTAGTTTTAGACAAAGTCCTTAAGTGGTGGCTGGTTAAGTTTCAGGTGTCTGGGTAAGATGGTTAACCCTCCTAACATCCGCCTCATTTTGGCTTGTGCACAAAAGTTGGGCATACCCAAATGTCTTTGCTTATTTGAAAACACATCTTACATGTCACATGCTTGTATGTTGCATCATATTAAAGCTAGAGCCTTTTAGTTTATGGAAATATACACAAAAATAATGTTTGTCATTCCTATTTCACTTTGCATCCTTTGAAGTTTGGGGGAAAAAAACTTTTTTAAGCCCTGCCTAAAATTTTCAATTTCTAAAGGCCTTAAAGGCATACTTCATTGTGAGTTCACAATATTCAAACCCTATGTTCATTGTGTTGTTGACAACTGTCTAAAGTTTCAGACTTCTAAGTTTTATAGTTTTGCAGTTTCTCCTTTTCATCAAGTAGTGCACATTTGCTTTACTGATATTTAATCATCATAAAAACGATTTATTATTGGTACTTGTAAGTTACTAATCTGTTTTATTTTTTTATTTTTTTTTATGTCAAAGTTTGAGAGCGTCTTTTGACTGCCATTACGCACAATTCTACTGACACAAAATAAGACAGTACACCTCTGTCCCACCCCTTGCTAGAAAGCGCAGAGTCTGTGCTCTTTTTTTTTTTTTCTTTTTTTGCTAAAGATAAATGCACATTTTTGGATTATTTCTCCAGAATGGATTATACTTTGGGAAATACAAGTGGATATTATTTTTCAATGGACTGTTCCATAGAGAAAGAGCTATAGGAAGCCGGGAGGAGATCTGATTTATTTATGCAGCACAAAAAAGTTTTTTGGAAGTGATTTATTTTGTGCCCATATTATGTGTTATATCTTTTGAATGCAAAGTCTGATATCGTTGACATATTATTGTAGATAAGAAAATAAAATAATTTAAAATAACATACAGCTTTTGGGGTTTGGTGTTCAAAATGCATCTGCTATTGCCAGCAGAACATTTTAAAAATAAAAAGCCGGCGCGCTGGTGGATGTAAAGAGGTTAAGGTTAGGGTTAAGGCTGGGTTGGGGTTATTTAATGGGAATGGCTGGTTAAGTTTAGGCATGAATAGGTATTTTTTCTTATATTTACTTCCGCTTCCATCCCGATTCCGTATATGATCTAGTGCTGACCGAAGCCTGACGCATGCCTTCATTTAACGAGTGCATTCGAAAGTCCACAGCGGCTAAACTAGGCTAAACTAAACCAGCATTGACTTTGACACGCATTGAAAGGAAAAAAGGCGCCATAAGAATTCATTGGATAATTCTGTTTCCGAGGCTGAAAGAACGAGGCTGTGGCTCCACTGATGTAGCAGCCTTCTTCCTGTGGACTAAACACCTGCAGAGGATCAGTGAGGGACTGGACTGGTGCTATGAGCATTGGGTGGTAGCTCTGAAATGGACTAATAAAGGGGTGGAAAATGAATGAATGAATTCTGTTTCAGAGTACGCCACTACTGGCAAGGAGTCAGATTACAAGCAGGTCAACGCATGAGCTCATGGACCCTTTTGGGCCGGGATGCGCCCCCACTGGTATTATGTACACAAATCTAACCACAAAGCACCTTTCTCCTTCAGCCGCATGCAGGCGCCCGGACCAACCGTGCTGACTAAAACAGGACTATCCCAAGGTAATAAAGAAGGGTTTTCTAATCTAAAACAATTGTAATCAATTTGAATGACAACAGGGGTTGCTAATATCTCAGTATGGCGCTCCCTGCTGGCTAATTTGATGCAAGACTAAACTCACATCGAGATGGTGTAGCATGGAGTGGCCCAGATGGCTGAAGAATGCAAATGTTCAAAAAGAAGTTATTTACTGTGCTTCCAAACTATGTACAGGGTCTTTCTCCGAAGACAACATGAAGACAACATGAATCTTATTGACCAGATGCATCAACGTCATCCAGTCACGTGATTGTGAATGAGCTTACGGCGGAAGTATTGGAAACTAGCATTGCTGCGAGAGCAAAACGGACACAACTCTTAAAAACGGAGCTTCCTCTCCTAAATCGAGAAGTGGCTGCTTCAAGCACATGTTCGATTACGTTATAGGTGGAAGTAGGACGTCAGGTCTCACAAAGAGTGGTATTTGGAGAAGTTAAGGACTTCTCCAAATACCACCTAACTGGATGTTGACCCGTACCTTCTCCCCCCAGTCAATTTTATCGATTAAATAAAATGTCTATTTTTGCCCAAATTCACCCTACATGATCTTTATCATTATCGTTAACAATGCATCCCCTTACACTGGGGCAGATTTATATGTACATTTTGCTGGTAGCAATAGTCCACTTTTCTGTGGCTTTTCTGTCTACAGCCAAACATGATACGTACTGACGGAGAGGAAAATAGTGAAACACGCAATTGACTTAAAAGATAAAAATGTCAATGTTGCAGCGCACAGACAGGACAGTAGTAAGAGACACGTTTGACGTGTGTCATTGTCCTCCACATTAATGGAAATAAAATAAATACAAACTTGTGATTGCTTTATCTTGTAAAAAGTGTTCACTGCATATTAGGGAGTACTTGGATGGGTCCCAGTCCTTTTGGTTGATTGCCGCTGGCCATCGTCGTCTTCTGTCTTCATGACGAGCAGGTATCAGATAAAAAAGCTTATGTCCTTGCCTGTTAGTATAATCAACCGCACTGCAAAATGTCACAGTTGTGGCTGTAATGCGCTGAAACAGGTTGTTTTGGTCAGGTGTTCGTAGGCTCGCAGTTAGACTTCTGCCGTCTGTCATGGAGAGTGGGCGCGGCCGGGATGTCACATGAAAGGGGTCAATATACCAGGCCTAACAAGAATGGCCTCTCCCACACAGCTGGCCTCTCCTTACCAAAGCAAGACTTTCTTATCCATTTGCTTCATTCATGATTTTGTTTGCTTGTTTTCGTTGTTTAGAAATTCTAATCTAATTTTGCCCTTTGAGACAACTATATGATTGCGGGCTGTGCAAAGATATATTGATTTGATAAAGTTCTTAAAGCCACTCCAAATGAAAAAACGTGTTAACCAATAACAAATGTGACCATTCTAAAAATATTTACCTCCACCATGTTTTTGAATTGTCATAGACTTAGAATTTGAATTATATTTGTCCATGAGAGCTGGTGAACAATCCATGTCAATGCGCCATCTTGAAATACAGTAGTGGATAAGGGACAAAAAGGTAAGAATCGCATTTTTGTTTCACAGGTGTTGGACCTTTCACTCCCGGATCAGTTCGGAAGTTCAGTTTGATCCATTGATCATACGCAGCAGTAGATTACGTCACGGAATCTGGATGGAAGCGGAAGTAAATATAACAAAATACCTATTCATGCCTAAACTTAACCAGCCATTCCCATTAAATAACCCTAACCCACCCTTAACCCTAAACTTAACAATCTTACTTAGACACCTAAAACTTAACCAGTCACCACTTAAGGACTTATTAACTGAACTTCCGGACGAATCCGGTTTCCAGGACGAATCCGGGAGTGACAGGACCATTGTCAAACACAACAAATGGTCCTCGGCGGCTTCTGTAATGTTGGTGGTAGAAGGAGACTTGCAGTATATGATCTCAACGCTAGATGGGAGTAAAAATTACTTTACCTTAACAGATATAACCTACAATTAAAGCAACATTGATTAATATATATTTATATAAAGAACACAGCCAATTATCCAACTTTTTTTTTGAGGTTTTTGCACACTAGGGCTTGTGAAAGGGAGGTGATTCTCATGAAAATTCTCAGATACTTTTTGGGCGGAATTGTTTTTTTGTGTGGGCCTTTGTACAACACTATTACACAGAATTAGACTAGAACTTGGGCATTGGATGATGTAACTTTTAGTAGAAAATTAGTCGTAAAATGGCTGTGACTGCTTCCATTTCTAATGTTATCATGGTAAAAGTCTATACACCAGTGTTAGAAGCCTAAGAACACATTCAACATGATTAAAAATGTAACATTGCTTTATTATTTGTGATGTAAATGGTAAAAATGACAGTGATGGGACATGCTTCATTAAACAAAGGTCTGGACCATACCAACAGCAGCATTGATTTTGGCTCAATGACATCAGCGCACACATGACGGTCTGCCTTAATTACATTGACTCTCCATTACACAAATGATCCACATTTTTATTCAGCCTCAGTCGTGCTCTAATGCTTTATACCAGTAAACATTATATGAAACCAATTATAGTTTTTATCCAAGAAAATAGCCTGGATTGTTTTGTTTTGTTATGAAATACACACATTTGGTAACTTCTTTATACCATTATGCACTGATTATGTACAATAGTTACAGGCTAAGTGCTGTTATATAATGTAAATATAACAATGTTTTATGTTTTACTGTTTACCCTTTAGTAATTACTTACAAAAAGGCAATTCAGACACAAAATGATACAACTTTACCGTGCATCTTAGCATAATATAAAACATGGTATAAAACAAGTAAAAAGTAAGCAGTAGTACCCAAACCGTGAAGCAGGTAAAAACAAATAATATACAAAATAAAGTGAAAAGTGCATATTCTTTTTGAATAAACAATAACATTACTGTACATCAAAGCAGGTTTTCAGTAGATCAAGTATTTGTTAGGGTTTTATTCCTGTTGCGCTCCCTCTAGTGGCAGCATCATGAGTGCCTCGGTCTGCGCAGGTCTGTGAAGGCGCCACTAGAGAGAAAAGTATAGACAGTATTGTTACTTCAGAGTCATAGTCAAATATATTCAGTAATTAATTATTTACATAAATTGATTATGAATTTATAAATATTATAAGTACTTTTCCAGTTGTTTGAGTAGCATTAATATTGTGGTATTTAGCATTTATTCAATTGCAGACACATTTACTGCCCACTCAGATGTAAACGTGTCAGTAAAAACATGATTTTGTTTTCATTTTTCCTCCTAAAAGTATAAAACTGTATATGCTCAATCTTTTTTATTGTTTCTTGTTTTATTATTTATTCATTTGATTAAAACCAGTGCAGTCCCAATTCAGTTTAATCAGATACTGTTCACAAATTTGTCAAAATCTATTTCAGTGAGCTCTTATTCTTTGCTGAAAGAATCCACCCGACCTCACAGGCATGGCCGATTTCTGATAATAACATCCATTACTCTATTCACACAGGATTATTTTTGTCCACGAAGCATCTAATTTGGAAATTTTCAGCAGAATTCAGAGAAAACTTTACAGATATTTGTCCCCGAGGTCCACTGATCAAACTGATCCTGATTCCACAACAATACTATCAAATATTAGCATAATAAATGTCAAAACTAACACTGACAATTGAAATATATTATTCGTGAAGTGCCGTATGATTAAGAATGAATTGTTTAAGTGAAATCATCATTACCTTCTTTGTTCTGTGTTATGATGTTGCCTTTGCTCCCCTCTAGTTCCCCCATGTGGCCTGTGTGAGACTGCTCCTCTCACGTCCTCCTCTGATGATGCTCCAAAAACTTCAGCTTGGCATTGAAAAACACTGGGCCCTGGAACACATAATAATACAAATAACACATGCATTTAGATTACTCCTCTTGATTTGATTTAACAGACAGTCCCAACCAAACACAACTTCATCAGCAACAAGTACAGACAAATATTTCTTGACAACAGACCAAGGAACACATTCAATATTTTTTAAATTCCAACATAAAAATATAAATGATAATATTTTGGTATTTTTTGTCATTAACTCAACATTAGAGGATAATAATATATAGAGCAGTGCAGTGGATATTGACTAATATTAGTTTTGTGAATGTTCATTTGTTGTATTTTATTTGTAAATATATATATTTTTTAATTCTTTTTCATTGATTTGTTCATGTTCTGGACTGTGTGAGTGTTCGTGTGTTAATACAAAATATTCAAATTGTTATATTTTTAATGGAAACCTTGTTAAATTTTAGTAAAATTTCTCTTAATATTATGTTCTTTTAAAATATGGAACAATTGCATTTGAGTCTGAAATAAAGATTAATAATATAAAATTGGCCTGAAACAAGTTCCAAAAAACAAGCACATTAAAGATTTATATAGAAACTTTACTAATGATCCTATAACATATTACCTTCTTACAGCCCAAAAGAAAAAAAACGTTTGAATTTATTCATTAGGGAAACAGCATAACCTAATATTTAAAAATATATAATGGTCAAGTACTTGCAGTAGAAACACCTATTAGTTATTTGATTGTACGATTCCACACATTTGTCTTTGCATCTGCGGTTCCCTCGTTAGCTTTTATCTCTATTGAAATAACAGGAGTGCGGCTGAGGGCGAACACCTGATGCCTGCCGTCTGCTCATAGAACAGTGAAACGTGTAAGTAAGAAGGCATTGTGTCTTGCCCAAGGACACGTGGGCAACATGCTACAAAGAGGGGGTAGCTCCCAACCAACATTTTATATTTCACCCCCAACAAAACAGCAGCATCCAATCATACGGATTTGACTAGCTTGTTGCTTTTATTAAAAAACTATATATCTTTCTATTTCAGGAGCAATGGGGGTTTTCCTCGTAACTGTATTCAAATTTATACTGTACATTTTGTGTATTTTTGTTTCATATCTCGCACTTGAAATTGAACAAAAGCATCCCCTCCCCCAATTTTGGCAAGCATACTCTTAACACCATGAAGGGGTAGAGCTCTGGGTCCCAGGGGACTCAAGGAGGGCATGTCTGGAAGACTCAAAGCAAATTATCTTCTGCTTGTATTAACAATGCCACATATTATTTATAGTTTTTTTTAAATATTGAGTAAGTAGTGCACAGTGACGACATGTTTCCACACTGGTATAATGTTATGTGTGGTCAAATACCACATAGTAAATTGCAAACATGTCTTACATTTAAATCAAATAGTAAACAGCCAGTCCGCCTATATTTGCCTTTAACGTAATCATCTCACCATAATTTGTTCACATTTTAACCTGGAGCTTGTCTCTGTGTGTTTTCTTTGCAGCAGTGACCCCGTTTCCCCCATGAGGTCATTAAAATTGTATTGAAGTTGGCGTGCCCAGGACAGGAGGGGGCGGGGGCCAGTCACTGGGGGCCGAAAGCCTGCGTCGAGGGGCCATTACTTCACCAGATGCACCACACTGGCTCTCAGGCACAGAGACCTGCTGCTGCTGCAGCTGCTGCTGCTGCTGCTGCTGCGTCTGCTGCTGCTGCTGCTGCGTCTGCTGCTGCTGCTGCTGCTGCTGCTGCTGACATCTTGTTTTGAATTAATGTATGTGCAGCAACTACTGTTTAGCGAGGGAAAACATCTCACTTCAGTTGCCGATACGCATGAATATTCACTTCAAATTGTGTGTTTTTAAGATGAAAAAATTTGTAATTGAGACAAAATGTATAAAAAGTCAATAATCAGCATTCATCACATACAGTAGCTCATGTGTAGAGGTCCCACTGAACAGGTTGTATTAATTAATAGACATATGAAGAAGATGACGTTCTAAGCAGGACATTCAACTTCCTTATATTTACCCTATAGGATTCATTAACCTTTAAAAACATTGTCACTGGACATGGTTGTGATTGAGTTAGTTGTCCATACAAATCTCCATTGTGAATTTCTAAATCCTTTGAGGTGCTACTTGGAAGGGGGTGGTGAGCTACTTATGTAGAATATGTTTAGATTTGACTAGAGTTTAATAATTTAATAAAAGTCATCTCTTGCCACACTGTAGGCACCGCATCGATCACAAGCTTTTCTTTTTTCGCAGATCGGCCACAAATGTCCACTCCATATAGTATAAAAATAACCTCATGCAATGCAATATGAAGCTAATCAAAAACCTTATTGAGATGTAACATTTCAGTAAATATGTTGCATATACCTGATCTTTTCTGCGTTCTCTGCACATTTTCAATATCATAGACTTTTATTCCGTAAGCTTCTGGGATTTCCTGCTCGACAAACCGAGGCCGTGCTCCGCCTGTCGACCGCTTCAGAGACGAAGACGACTCGTGCTGGCGACGCTGGTGCACTCCTAAAACAAATACATGAAACAGAAGATTTTCTCAATCACAATCAGGTTCATTTAGTCTCGTGCCTGTTATACACAATTCTTAAATGTCTTATTGAGAGAGCTCTTAAAAGGCAAATGGAAAAATCAATCTTGCTGTAACCAAAAATATTCCAGCGGTTGGATTCTTTGGTTTCAGTTTCTCGTTTGCTCATGTTCTCATGCTTTTGAGGACATTTTGAGGATACTTTTCTTACTTAAATGAGGAATTATTTGTGTTGAACTGTTGATCACTGGAAGGTTTCATCCTTCTGAAAGTGGATATAGTTTCACAAAAGCTCTGAACAATTTAAGTATAAAATCATTTAATTAGTTCAAAACTATTTCAAAGAAAGTTAATACTGAAGAAGTGTGTGGAAGAAAGTGATTCCCTTCGTATGAAGTGAAAAAGGGAGGAAGGTGTACGGTCAGAGAGTGTTTGGGCCTGTGTTTTGTGTGAAAATGTGCACTGCAAAAAGTGGCTCCAAAGAAATTAAGATAAAAAAAGTTGCTATTAGAGGAAATGTACTTGATTTGAGAAAACTTTTTCCACTTCCAAAAAATATTAATAACAAGTCATATTATCATTAGTATCTTCAGCCTGCATGAGTAATAAAAAAGCCCAAAAAACGGTGTGATTAGAAAACTACACTGAAATCACGTGAACTACACCAGCCTATATTAACACTTTTTGCAGTGTCAGTGGGGTTGCATGGAGCCAAATAAGCATCTTCATCATCCAACCACTTTTAAAACAATATTTTTCCAATTGTTTTTCTGCATCTTGTTTATTTTATTCTAATTTGTACAAAAATTAGAATACAACTTTTTGTACAAATTATTATATAAAATGTATGTATACAATCAATGTATTTAACACAGATTAAATACATTGTGCATTTGTTTAAATGGGACAGTGAACCATAATCAACATGCAAATATGCCAGAATTAGCAGTGAAGGCCAAAAGCAAACAAAAAAAGCAGCAACATTCGTAAAAACTTGAACCAGTGACCTCTGAATGATTTCCATGTCTCTCATTTGCTCTTTTGCTGACTCCTTCTGCAATCTGTAAACCAGGATGCGTTTCTGTGCATGCCCAGCTTTATAATTCATCACAAAGCATTCAGGCCCATTAGTATCTGCTGCCGTTTGGTTCATATATAAATTATGTGAGCTGGGCTTCTATCAGACTCTTAATGCCTGTAAGAAAACCGTGACTGTCAGCATGAAACAGTAATGTGTTGAAGTGTATGCAATTATAGGTAAATTCACGGTATTGGCAGAGCTGTGATCCAGTATTTTTCTGTTTTTTCATTACCCCCTGTATGGACCTTACATTTCTAAGTGTACAGAAATGTCCAAACCAATCAATCAGAATCATAATAGACATTGCAATCCAGGTGCATCATCACAGAGAGAATTTTCTGGTCAAGTGCTGGTCAATTGAAAGCATGTGAAGCACTTTACATGGAAGGCTGCCTTTCAGTCTTTGAAGGTGTTATCCTTGATTGCCTTTTTACTCTCATCAATCAACCGCAAGTGAGTGGGTCGAAACACAACATGGACCACTGTGGAGCTATAAACGACTTTGCCTCACCCAAGTCAGAGGTTAAACACGGTTAGTTGTATATGTAACTAACATTATATTCATGATAGTTGATTGAGATTGAGAATTAATTAATTGAGAATTAATTTTCTGTTTATGTTGTATGGATCTAAAAAGCGCTAATTAAACGTAAGAATAAGACATATCTGTTCTTGCATAGTTCGCTAGTATTGATTATAGCGGTAAGATAACTTTTCAGGCAAAAAAACAGATTTTTTTCCATTTGGATTTGAACATACAGAGGCCATTTTTTTACAACTTTCAAAGCCATTTTTTTGCCATTACATTTTTGCCATTACAGCTACCTGCCAAGAGTTATGATCTTGGCACACTTTCTTTAACAAAAGAGTCAAAACGCAGGCCAATATATCTTTTCACACATAAAATGAATTACAACTTTTTTTTTACCTGTTGTCCCTCTCTTTTTGGAGGCCCTCCCGCTCCGGCCGCTCCTGTCGCTGGCTTCACTGTCCCTCTCCCGAAGCATACTTCCATATCCGCTGCTCACTGTGCTGTTCCTGTTGGAGAAATACAGCGACGTCTTCCCCATGGCAGGCGGCAGATCTCCACTCAGCACGCTGGTGGTATCACTAGCGTAATCGTTTGGACTCGGAAGGCGAGGCGCGGTGACCTGGCTGTACGGCGACGGCATAGCACCCATTTGATCCAAGGAACTGGGACTTCCGGAGCGATCTTTCAGCAGTTCTGATATGGAACCGTTTACAAATCCTTGGATGGCGGATTTACTGGAGGAACATGTAGAACTTTGGCTTGGGGTCCGGCTGAGAGATTGATGAGATCTTGGTGGAGAAGATGACAAAAATGACGACGCACGCTCAAAGCTAACTGTTTTGCTGTCAGGAGAGAGGCTGGCACTGCGGTTTATTGAAGATTGACGGACATTCTTATGTGGTAAGCTCATGTTCTTGATGCTTGGAGCGGATTGTCGACGGACTTTGGGACTGGCAATCTTTAGCTTATCTTTAGCTGAAAGTTTTGAATGCTTTCCATACTCAATTGTTGCATAGTTTTCATTTAGCCTGGCAGTTTTCTTTGGGCTCCTGCTAGTTCTAGGTAAAGTATAGTCACCTTCACTGTAAACGTGATAACTTCTACTTGCTCCATCTGAACTGGACTTTGAGCTTAAAGACGTATTGCTGCTGCTACCACGCTCAAATATAGGAAAATCTCGAGGGTTACGCTCAAGGGAATTTGTGCGGCTAACTAGCTGCTCAAGTTTGACACTAAAGAGCCTGCTCGTGTCTTCAAAAGGTGACTTGGATCTTCCACTTTCAAACAAGGACGGCATGGCTTTCTTGGTAGTAAAACTTGCATCTTGGCTTGTGTGAGAATACTGCCGCCTGTCAAGAGTCACCCTTGGGCTTCCGGGTGTGGATGATGTCATCTCTCTTGGGTGTATGCGGTGACTGTCATTGGATAAGACTTTGGAATCTTGCCAAGCCCTGGGCAGGGTTCCTGATTTGAACACAACAGGGGTGGTAGCTTCCTGACAACCAGGAGCTACTCCACTTCTCTTGGGAGTCATTTCCTCAACTTGGCAACCAAGCTGTGACGCCTTAGGAGAGTTATTGGCACAAACATTATTAACATCTTTTGGTTGGTTTCTCTCTGCACTTTTAGGCCTTTTGGTACATGGTTTGGTGTTGGCTAAATCGATTTTTGAATAATCCTTTTCACCAATAGTACTTTTTGTCTCAAGAGCTTTACTGTGCTCTTTACATTTGACCTCTTTCTTTTTAATCTCTCTTTCCACCTTTATCTCATTTGAAACATGAACTTTATTGGCACATTGAGATTCAGCCTCAAAGTCTGTAGACATAAGCATGGGGTTTATGAAAGAGGGGATCAACCCTTTATCTGGTCGCACAATTTCTTTGGGTGTGGCTTCCGATGTAGCGCAAACTTCATCCCCCATTACATTGCTAATAATTCTTATCGGCTGCGATCCCCCGCCATTGTGTCCGTTCTGAGATGCGTTTTGAAAGCAAATGATATTCCCAGCGGTGCTCACACTGCTCATGCCCCCACTAATGGTGACCTCTTCAACCATTGAGAAGACTACTTCATCTTGCCCTTTTTGATCGAGAGGTTGTTTGACGGTTACGGTGATGGTTGCTTTCATTTCTTTACTCTCTGTTGAAGGTGAATTTGTTAAAACATCTCCTACAACCACCCCGGAAGTTTGAGAACTGGGACACAAGGTAGACGGGGAGTTACTCTTGCCAATTGGTGAAGCCCGTTTGTCCGTTTTGAACCATTCACAACCTTCAACGCCATCTTGAGCTCCTTTGAGTGGATCCGCAACACGAGGACCTTCCACACGTTTATTGTTTTTATGATTTTCTGAGCGGCGAGTTGCATTTCGAGTCAATGTCTGAGTGAGCAATTCTTCACCTGAACTTGCCGCGCTACACTCCTCGCAGTCGTACAAGCCAGAGTCCTCTCTTTGAAAGCTATCTCCATTGAAAGCAGCATCCGTTTCTCCGCCAGGCTTCTGGACCGAGTTCTGATTCAACACCGCAGCTTTTGAAACAACAATATCCACATTATTTTTCACCGGTTCCAACTTCACTGCATGTTGTACCAGTTTTAGCGTTTCTGCCGTCAACTCGCTGCCGTCAATGCAGCCCAAGCGCTCTTGAAGTTGGGCAAACGTGTCGCATTTGAGCGTGCCATTAACTTCCTTTTTATTCTTGTCGTCGTGAAGCTGTGGGATTTTGAGAAGTTCTTTGAGCAAAGCCGTAAACTCTGGGTCATCTATGTCGGTTTTGCTGGGATGCAACGATGGAATAATGGGCACAAATTCAGGCTGGTTAACGCGCGGTGTGGCATTAGCTTGGACGAGCCCTCTTGAATCGATTTGGATTACGGTGTCGCAGGATTGCTCGCTGCCGGATTGGTCGTCATACAGTCGGCCGCGGAATCGGAGAGGGCGTACATCCGAGTCCACCTCTTCCGTGGAGTGGAACGCTCGGAGGGACATAGTTTTTGGAGTTTTCTTTTCTCTCGTCAGACTTCGAGCGTGAGGGGAGCAGGATCCAGACTGCTGCAGGACAAAGATCATGAACGCATTAGTTAAAAAAATCACATTATCAGAATTCTGTTTTCCTAAACCTGTTGAAGTGTTTTTAAAGTACTGCATTTATTACTTATGACATTGGGAAAAGTCAGAAATACTTGAGGACATGCAACTAGCTGTTTGTCTATTTTCTTACTTTTGGCATGTTAGAATAATTTGCAGTCAAGTAATAATTGTATTTAACATTTAAGAAGTTATTGCTGAATATGTATCAATGCATATAAAGCTCTTGATCAACAAGTTTCACTTTGTTTGATAGCTGCATATTTTTCTAGATTTCATCCAACAATAGATATTTTTTGCATAAAAGACCCTTGAGCTTAGTTTAAGTCAAACAAATGACTTGTAATGATATTGGCCCACCCCATTTTTAGCGGAATAATTGATTGACGGGGCAAATCATTTCTTTGGTCAATAACAACTCTAGTTAGTTAGAACAAGAACATTCTACCATAGGAACAACAGTTCTATTATAGAGTACACAATTGGAAATGTAAACAGGTGGAATGGGTGACTGCATACCTTCTCTCTCCTCTGCGTCCTGCGTATTTTTGAGGCGGTTTGAATAGTGGACAGAGTTTCGTCCAAAACAGCGATTGAGTCTGACACTTGAGCCACAACCGCAGTGTGGCAGTTCACGTGACCCAGGGCCTCTCGGAGAAGCAAGGACAACTTACTGCTCCTGTGAACAAGAGCAGACAATACCAATACATTTATCATATTACTAATTACAAAGTCACTTAATACTCATCAACGTCTGCTCTACAAATTACATGAATAGTTGATTGAGTGCGTTAATATAAAGATCACTGCATTGGTTAAACATATAAATACCGTAGTCTTACTTGTTTGGGATAGTTCTCTGTCCGTTCAGTAGAGACAGCACGATTGGACTCAGTTCTGTGTAAGGGTATCTGTTTTTGCTATACCTCATCCCTCGACACACGTCAATCATGGTCAGTTTAGATGGTCCACGAGAACCTAAAGTACAGTAAAATACATAAATAAATAATTGGACACTTTACAATTCATTTATGGATTGAAACTGAATGATGTGCACCCTTCACTTTTCTAAATGACATGGCAAGCCGTGTAAAAAGTGATTTCAGTAACTTCAAATGTATTTCATTTGTTAAAGACTGCACATGCTGACCACCTAGCCCGAAGCTAAGAACTGGTGGAGGTAAATAGTTACACTGTATCAATATTAATCAAATATAACTTATTTCTTGCATTTTAAGTTACCTTTGGCCTAATATTGGACCTAAATGGCGAATTAACAATCTTTACAGAGGTGATACATTTCACTGGACTAAACCTAGAGCCTATCTCATAAAAGCTCAATTTCAACAAAAGAGAGCCAAGGAAGCATAAGGGAGGAGGTATTTTTGCTGAATTCAGATACAGCCTCAGGACCAATGGAGAGCGAGAGAGCCTGTCAGTCAAGGATTTGAATTTATTTTGTCCACTCAGCAAGAAAACGGGGTGAGCCGTAACCAGAGCTTGAACTTGAAAATGATCTCTCCGTCTTCAAATGATAGTCATGTTCCAATCATTTACAGTTTGGCTAAAGAATCTCAAAGTATCAACAGACTTATTCTTGAATATTGTGTAAAGTTAGTTGCAGTGCAGAACATTTGGCATTCACACCTAATTTTTAACAAATCATTGCATAATAACATGAAGGGCTCATCATTCCTGAGATTGTAAGATTACAGAGATACGATATAGAAAGTAGAAGAGTAAGTAACGAGATCAGTCAAACCTTTCCCGATGGTGCTGGTGTCGGTGCGAGGCGGCTGGACGTGTAGAGTGAAGAACATGATGGAGCTGTGGGACAGGTATGTGACGAAGTCTGTGTACCGGCGAGCAGTGATGGCTGCGTCCAACAGAGAGGCCGCACGCTCTGCTGTGGGCGCCTTCACACGGTTATGGTTACGCACCTGCAAGGAGACAGGAAGTGCATTATGACATTATTGAGGCAAGGAAAGTTTATTTGTACAGCGCAATTCATACACAAGGAAACTCAAAGTGCATTACTAAAGAAGAAAGAAATCATTGAAATCATACACAGATTATCCACAGGGAAAAGAAAAAGTAGAATTTCATGTTTTTTTCCCATATCTGGAATGTTTTTTTTGGTGGGTCACTTTTTTGTCACTATATTTACTTGAAGCTTGGAACTGAAATCTACATCATTAGGGCATCTCCATCACGTGGTTTTAGACACTTTTATCAGCGAACTGCACCTCAACCATTTGGTAAAAACCTAACAAACATGGGATTCCAAAAAAGAACAAAAAAAACTATTTGTGTTATTAGTGCTCCTACATCTTAGAAATTAAATAAAAAGAAAACATGTAATTGCTTTCTTCAAGGAGTGAACATTAAAGGGTTAATGAGTGATGAGCCAAGTGCTTAGACATGCATTATTTATTCATTCTTCATATTCAGTGATGATGAAATACTTCAGGCTGACAAACTGAACCAATTGCCTCTCATCAAGATGAGACAAGATAAACTTTATTCATCGCACAATGGGGAAATGTAGCTGGTTTTCAGAAATGGCCTGCACCTGCACTCCACACACTGGGTCCTCTTGCAGCCGGACGTGCGCCGTGGGACTCTCCTGGGCACTTCCTCCAGACGGTAGCATCTCTCCCAGCAGGTCCCGCAGCGTGTCCTCCTCACCGCAGCAGAGCTCTAGGGCCGACACGGACACGCTCAGGTCGGTCCAGGTCTTCTCTCGGCGGCGCTCGATGGCACTGTACAGCCACGAGATCGCACAGGGGATGAGCCCCAGCTGCTGCGGGCTGTCGTCACTGCCCACCATGCTGGACCAAGAGCCTGAGGGACAAACACACAGAGGAAGAAAATCTGGGTTATCCTTTGCATGGCATTAACTTTGCGATGTCTCCTTGTGTCTTTTACAGAGGCAATTTTCATAATAGAACATTTAGTAAACAGCAGTGTTACTCTAACTGTTGATCACTGGCTTATTTTTGCCTAGTACCTTTACGTAATACTATTAGGAGGTCTTGTTTAAGATCTGATGATTTATTTTTATAGCCCGAAAATTGATTTGTCAATAGCCGATTAGAACATCAAGCAATTACAACACCCAATAAATACAACAATAAAACAGATACAAGTTATTGGTCCTCAGGATGTCTATAAAAGTTAGATAAAATGTCCATGATCATCCCCTGCCCTAGGCCATCCTGTATCGCCAATAGGGAAAACTCAAACACCCAGTGGGAGAAAACACCTTAAACCAGGAAGCCAATTTATTTTTTTTAATACCAGAAAATAAGTCTACAATGGATGGAATTATTAGGTTACATTTATTTTGTTTTAAAGTGATAGTCTGTAACTCTAAATGAATTACACATTTTAGGAAATGTGTTAAATTGACCACCAGGCCTTAAATGTTGATATAAAATAAGTCATTTTATTAATTCTATTATAACGGGTAAGTCCCGCCTTCCCTTCTCTTAGCTATAGCTCAGAATCCACGGTGCCGTCCAGGTTAACCAATCGAGTCATGCCAAGGGCTGTCAATCATCGGCGCTCATGCTCGTAGCTGCTCATGCTCAGTTGTTTGTTTTCGCATAACCTCCGAATCAAGCCTCCATTAGGCTCTGGAACTACATGAAAACTGAACAAAGAATTCTGAACATCTGTTTCTCATTTATATACTGAACCTATATCCATAATCAGATCCTCTGCAGATGTGTCCTATAATGTGCAATTCATGATAATAGCTTCTTCCGGGTTTGCCGCGATCGCTTTTTTTGTGCATAAAAACATAATTTTTTTAATTAAAACGTTAACAAATAATTCTGAAAACCTCCGTGCATGTGTATTAATAATGTATATGTATAATGTGTTCTCAGATTAACATTTAAAAGTTTTACGGAAACGTAGACGTAGACCAATCAGAAACGAAGGGGGAGGGAGCTTGCGTCGTTTTTTTCAAATCAAGTACCTCTCTGTCTCTCTTTCTGACAAACTCCAGACAATCACTTTAAGAAAAGATTTGCCAGTGGGACAAGCAAGTTAGACACAAGCAAATTCTCAATTCTCAAAAAGAAGAAAAAGTGTACTGAAGAAATGTTTTGCCTGTCCCATTGTTTTCTTTACTGAAGGTAAAAAACTACTTTATTCAAAAAATGGGATGCCTTTTTATTGAATTAGAATAGGCCTGAGCTACAATAGGTCTACATACATACTACATACTGTACATGTCTGTCTTGTATGTCTTGTTCTCTTGCCTCTCATTTCCTACTTGAGTTATATGGGCCTGTTTTGCTGTTTTGTCTTACTACCCAAACTCTAATTGAATAAGAGAAGTGAATTGGTTTAGCCCAGTTAAAGCTATAGCGTCCTGCCCTTACTGTGAGTGAGTGTAGTATTCTGTGGGGCAGATTGATATTCTCTGGCTGGGGGCCATAGTGGGACTGGGCCACTAATGTAATCATGTTTTATACCGATAGTGGCGTCACGTGAAGGAGGCGGCCCGGTTGTGGATGTGCGTGTCCCGCTAAGTGCTTCTGTGACTGCGGCGCATGATCGCAGTCCAGCCGCAGTGCACTGAAATCAAATGTGAGTCCGCTGCTGCATTTCAACTGTCTGTCAGAGCGGCTTTTACAACACAACAGTACGTCTATAATTCATAAGCAGGCTTTTATTTAAATTATATAAAATGGAGACAGAGAAATGGAGAGAAGTTACGTCATTTTTGTTAAGGTATTGTATATGATGGTATGGTTTATGTCTGTTTTTGTTTTCGGAAAAAAAAACTTAAATGTTATTAAGTAGTACAGTGAAATAATGGTGCTGATATTACATACTGAGTAACTAATTAATTGAAAAAGAATATGGAGGTTTTTATAGGTATTAGAAAATAAAGCTATAGTCTAAAAAAAAATCACAAACCACCTTTTGTTGACAGAATCTTCCTCTCTGTGACTCATGTAGTAGTAGTGTGTTTATTTCAAATTACATGCGCAATACAAAAAAAACAAAAGAAGAAACATATAAACATATATATGCACAATTCGAAAAGGAGTAGGTAGAAGTGAAACTTATGCTTCCTACCCCTTGTTACAAACTTTTCTCTTTACAGGAGTTCAAATGATATACAGGCATATTTCAGATATACAATTTACACTCGTCTCCATGAATAGTAATTTTAAATTCTGATTTAGCACCAATGATGTTCTTAGGTCTTGTTGTCACTGCCATTTTTACCCAAAGCTGTTTATTTAATGTTAACATGGTTATGTATGTTGACCCTACATAGAACAGTGCATTAAAAACAGTGGGTAGAATGAGCCAGTCGAGAGAAGGTAATAGCCCCCACTCAACCCGCCCCACTCCCAACATCCCTGACCAATGGAAATGTAGGAAAATTTGCGTTGTATATGCTTGCTGTGTGGTGCGTTAAAAACGAGGTGTTGAGGCCGCTTGGCAAGAGGGAGCCCGCCAATCCAACCATATCTCGTCTGCTCTGATTTACTTGTACCTCCTGATATACCACTGCTACTGTGTATTACATATGACATTGACTACTTATGCATTTATAGGCTTTCATTTACATTAATGTGTGGTGGTAAGTGTTTGTTTCTGGATTGTGTTATGGACCAGCTAAACTAGCTAAATTTGGAAAATCTTGGAAAAATTGGAAAATCTTCTCGAACATAGGTAACATAAATATTGTAGACATAATTTTCATTATAATTTTAATGAATAACTCCAGTATGAACTATTGTTCATAAAAGGCTAAATATGGTTTGTACATGTTGACCTATTATTTGAGGACAAATATTGTTGCCTAAAATATTACATAAAGTCTCTTTTAAACATGGAAGTTCTATATAAATATAATAATGTGTTGAAATACATTGGACTCATTAGAGCATTGGCCTAGTATACATTTCCTACAGACGCATTGGTTTAATTGATATTAGCAATTAGCCATCTGAACATAACTTTCACCAATGTTTTCCTGGTGTGACTATTACAAGAAAGAATCTATTTCCACCGACCTAACTACCATTGAACACCTTGCTATACTATGGATCAATGCATTCTATGTAAGCCATTCGCAAAGACTGGATGGCAGACAATAGAATTAAATGGCTTCAGATGAATATCACGATGGATAAGAGATGGCACCATTCCCACACAGGACAGACAGGGATTTTAAGTGACTGAGGAGTAAACGATAGCGGGACAGACTAAGAGGGGGAGGGGCTTGTGGAGGAGGTGGTTAAAAGCACTCTCATCTGGGACGTTAACCCGTAGACCCCCGGCGCGTCTCGTTACTCACCCACATCGGAGCATCCCAGGCTCAGCACGCAGCCGTCGCTTCCACTCAGCACGCAGCGGATGACGTCAGGCAAAACTCCAGAGCATAGATCGGCCTGGCAACAAAGGGACAAACAGGAGCAAGTGATTCATACGGAGAAAGAAACCAAAGAGAGCAGGAGATGATGTGGCTGCAGTGTGTATAGAAAACTGCTTCTGGTGGCATATATGTAATCATCTATTTTGTTTTGAGGTCTTTATAAGAGAGAAGATGGAAGAAGATTTCAATCAAAAACCTGTGGCGCTAAACACTTTAGGCCATGACAGGATTATAGACCCCAGACAGAGATGATGATGATGATGATTGAAATCTCTTATAGAGTACGGCAAAAAGGGAAGTGATGAAAGAATTTAATAACCTCCATGAACGACCTTCACAGACACAATGCTCCTGTTTTTGACTCTATATACAATATGTGCTTCATTTGCTGATTTTGATGAGAAATTACGTCAAAATCAGGTGAAAGATGTTGAAATTTCAACGGTTTCTATGTGAAGTCTACAACTCTACCGATAATATTGGGGTTTCAAATCATAAAAAATGGAAATAATGAAATAAAATCCATGTACAGAAGTCCACGCTTTCAAAAATCAGTTTCAAGTACATGTGTTTTTTGATCCGCTTCAAGTCAGTCAAATAGTGACTCACTGGGCTCTTTCTTGCAAGTATATAAAGAATATGTTTTCTGTTAACATAAAGACAGCATGTTGTGGGCTGTGTTAATATTTTTTTCTTTGACAATACTTTGATAATAACATAGAAATATCTAAATAAATACACACTCGACTCAACAGTGTGTTTTTCACTCATTTATTTAGCTTGTAAGTCATTTTTTCTGGGTTTGGACGAAGTGAGTTTCTAGTTTTATGGATAGACCAGGGCTCATGTTACACACATAATCAAATGGGGAAACAGGTGTGCATCAAACCAAAATAGAAACTAAAACAGCTTTTCTATGACATATAATTCTGTCCATTACCTGGCTCGCGTGTTGTGGGTACGTGGCATCAAAGTTGAATGTTTTGATGAGGCTCTTGTCGCGGCCCAGAGTCATGGTGCTGTAGGGGTGGCCCTTGTAGAACGGTTCCATCACGGTGACTCTTCTCCGGGACGAGTCGACCTGCAGCACCGGAGGAGGCCCAGGACTCCCCGACAGGTCTGGGTTCACTCGCAGCACCACTCTGACCTGCGCCATCAGAGAGGCATTGTCATACATGCAATCTTCATTTTCATGACTATGTATAATTCCTGATTTCACAGTGTCAATTGTTTCCTGCACGTTCTTTAGTTATAGTTTTTAACCTTGTTTATTTATGTACTTGTCTTGTGCACACTGGGGACTTTTGCAGATCTATTCCAATGTGGTTTTACTGCAAATGGCAAATAAAATGAATCTGAATGTGAATTTCTTATGCCCATCAATCTTTGGCATTGATGATGTCTAGTGAATATTTGCATTTGCTTAATTATCTTCTCAATCGCCGTAATTATACAGACATTTGCAGGTATTCATTTTCAAATAAAACTGTTCATAATCAGGCTCCAATAGATCCAGAAAGTAATTTCATGTCCAGGAAGTATCTTAAACAGTCAGAGCCACCTACACTGGCTCCTCTCGACGTGGAGGAGCAGCAGATCTACTCAGAGCTCCACCCATGTAACTGAGCTCCTCACCTTTTCTTTAAGGTTGCGTACAGAGAAAACTCATTTTGCAGTTTCTTATCCTTTCAGTCATTGCCCAAAGGATTGTAGATTGACCGGTAAATAGAGAGCTTAGCCTTTCGACTCAGCTCACTCTTCACCACAACGGTCCAATACAGCTCTGACTGCAGACGCTGCTCCCTTTTCATTACAACAGTCTGATACAGCTCTGACTGCAGACGCTGCTCCCTCTTCACCATAACAGTCCGATACAGCGACCATATCAGTGCACACTCTACCCCTGAACTGTCTGTCAGTCTCACGCTCCATCCTTCCCTCACTGTGATCGAGACCCGAGATACATGAACTTCTTCACTTGAGGAAGGACCCAAAGAGGACAAGGCACTTTTTCCATGACCTTTGAAGGATAACCGATAGATTGAAAAAGTAATTCAATTGTGTGCATGTCTCCATGAATGTCAGAGGATCAAAAGAAGCCAATGCAGTCGAATGCTTTGTCCCATTTAAATCTAAATCTACAACAGTCTTAATGATATTAAAAGTAAACAGAAAATACAATGTTTTGTATATTGTGTATAGTTTTTATATACGACATCATTGGTTGGTTACTGCTTTATGGTTCATGATTCATAAAAATATTATTATTTTGCTTTGTTTTTTAAAATAAGGTCATTACACATGAATAAGCATCATTAAACTAACATAATTTTAGAATAAATTAAGACAAGTACAGTACGCTCTGCTATATATATCTATGACAGTCAGGAATATTCATGTATGTGCTCGCATTGTTCTAAATATTATAATGCCATAATGACTACAATACATAAAGCCTTACTGCCTACGTCCTTATCCCTATACATATGTAAACAAATGTATTCTATCTTTGACATTAGATATTCAAATAAGTGACATTCAGCAGAAAAACAAGGAAACCTGAGCAATAACTCTGAGAATTCTGGTAAATGGCAAAGAGGATTAGAATTGATGGGGAAGATGAAGACGGAGCACTCATGTGATTAAATTATGGGGGCAGATTCCTGCAGACTGGTTAAAAATGTCCTTACTCCTCAAACACACCTGATGGAGACGATAAGGACAAAATATTCAAGAATAGCGACCAATAATGTGATGATGTTACAGACAGGGAATTCTATTTGGAAAGTAATTATCATAAATATGAAATAAGAAATGCTTTCTAAAACATAACATCAGTAGAGTGTTGGGATCGGATTAGTGTTGTGGTTCTCATGGACTTTACATATGGCACCATTGGAGTTCTTTGCAATTCCAAAAAAAAAATATCAACATTATGTCACAAGTTTCAAATACCAAATGTTGTATCTTGGTGATAACATGGATGTCTGTGCAGCAGTTATCACCAAGATGTATTGACACTTCATACTGAATGTAGTTTCACGCTTTAACTCTGCTGGGTAAAAAGATATTTGGGCGAAATTTACGTAATTGACAGACTACAAGCCCAAATATGCCCCTACTTCTTCCAAGTTATATGAACCTTGTAAAGACACCACACTGATAATCATACAGCCACTAGGTCCCTACAAGGACAAAAATACTAAAAATACAAAAGTATACACTTTTTTCGCATAAAAAGTTGTGTACTGGCCCTTTAAGATTATAACAGATGTATCTAAACTGTAAAATACAGGCGCAGTTTTCTTGCTATTGTTAGTAACTTAAAACTAGATATTGGTGTATGTGTGTGTCTGATAAGAGTCTTGGTGATTGACAATGGAATAGTTTTAGTAATTCTATTTCTGTCTTGTTCTTGTTTAGGTCTTTACATTCTTGTTAGATTATGCCTTTATATATAGGTCTCATTCCGCGTTATACAGTCAAGATTTGTGCCATTGTCGAGCTTGGTCTCTTTTTACCTCATCAGATGGCACATTTAAATTTCCTCAACGGTATACTTTAAAATCTCAAGATTTAAAATTACTGGAGTGAAAATGAAATGACATTTCCGCTGTGACTACGGTATATAGAAGCAAAACAAAATCCTTACATGAGATTGACTGTACATAATACTAATCTGGTCAGAAGTAGGCTCTGCAAGGCTTCAAGTACACAGCATAATACCAGCCAGTCTAATCATAGAGGAATTATATTACACCACTATGACCTCATCTTTTCACTGACAATCCGAAAACCCAAGAGCCATTTTCCATCTGCCACACAAAACCATCCCAGCGAGTAAAGATTTCCTCATAATTTCGATAACTTATGCAGGGGACGGCTCCATAACTGTATTGAATATGTGTCGAAGTATATTTATGAGGCTAAATTATTCAAGACAGTGTTCGTGTTATATGTAATGTTAGCAGAAAAGGGGCAGGTGCGTCAGGAGCTGTTACTGTAACTCTAGACCGGACCCAGCGGAGTCCATCTCTGAGACAAGGGGAGGGCGGCCATATTGATCCCCCGGGTTTGGTCCCAGGGGAGATGAGGGCAGCAGAGGAGAAGAACAAGATGGAGACATTAGCCCACGTTACAGATGATCCTAAAAGAGGAGGGATATAGGATCTCCTTCAAATGGGCTGCGATATATAGCTTTACAACGCAGCGGCGGAAGAAGCATTTGTGAAGACTGTTATTGTGGGCGTGTGTATCCTGTCTCAGACACCATCCGTTTGGTCCAGTTCCAATGCTTTCAGCTGGAGATGTAGTTGCAAAGGAAATGCTTGGGGTATCTAACTTAAACAAAAAAAGCACTGTATAATAAAATCCATCTGACCGTATTCTAAAAAAAATGGTTCTATCACTAGTTTTCACAAGCTTGTATTTTTGACCTATGGCACATCTGTAAATCAGCTTTTTCAACCCAAAAACTATAAAAAAGAGGACCAGCTCTGCAGGCCAAATAGTGACTCACACGGCTCCAAAGTGTTCTTTTTATAAGTTCAAATCGACATTTTACAATAATCTGTCTGTTGGCACAAACTATACTCAGGTAAGTAAGTTAGTCATATTTATTTAAACAGCACAAAGTCACAAAGCGCTTTACAACTGTGGGCTTCTGTCTCTCACTCCACACAGAGATGGGAGTACCCTAGGTACCCTTGCTTTAAATACTGTCGAGAGAATATTTACTTTGGCATGTCAGTAGAAAGTAGAAAATAAACACATATAATGGAGAAATAAAGGCTTTAAAGGGATGAAATATCTCTATAGTGGTAAATTACATTCTGTGTTTGTGTCAAAATTCCTACATTTGTGTGGATGGAGTAAAAGAAAACAATCCCAGTTGTATTTTTTATGAAGAAACGGTGATTGAAGATTATTTGAATTCTCGTTGGGGTATAAAACTTGTAATATAACCTGTATCTAACCTGCAATTGAATAAATTAAATATACAGTAGATTAGTTAAAAGTCATGCAGTGCTGCATACTGGCAAAGCCATGTTTAGTCATTTCCATGGCGAAAATAAACTAGAAAAAATGACTTTGTGAAATAAATCTGATGTGTGTCCAGGTAAATACTTTTTAAACTTTGGTAATGAATATATTTATGTATTATGTCATCATTTACATCATTGATTTAATGCTTGTTGTTTGTCAAAGAACATTCATTTACTGTATATACAATATTCATGCAGCTCATCCTGAATCTGAATCTGAATCTGAATCATCCACATGGAACCAGTATTGTCACCTGTTGATTGATTGATTGATGAAATAAATGCACAGAATTCCGATTAACATGTATGTTGTATGATGTGTTTGTGTCGATGAGAACCTAAAAGACTATATTCCTTTGATCTAAAAACACATTTGACGTCTCTGTCCCCTCAGCAGGAACATGGGATTAGAGACAGCGGGAACTCTGCAGAGCCAAAATAACTGTAGAGAACCTGCTGGTGCAGAGAACGGGCCAATGGCATCGGACAATGACTCAATATGGGGATCAGGCTTTGCTTTGGTAATATAATACACTTTTATGTAACCTAATGTTCTTATTATTTGAGATAATATTACATTTTATTGCAAAGGAAGGTTTCTCACCCATCATCTGTACTTCTTAGCAAGTTTTCCCGACGTTTCGTCCTCAACCTGGGGACTTCTTCAGGGAATGAATTCTCGGACCGCGCGTTGGAGATTTATAACCTATGGGTGTGGTAAGCCACACCCTAATCCTGATACTAACTCGTAAACAATCTACGGTCTGCTTGATGTAGAAGGGAGCAGGTCTAACGACCCTGCTGAGGCTAACGACCCTAACTCCTTAGCATGTCACAGACCTATTGTCTGCTGGGATGCTCAAGTGGAGTGCAGGTTTCACCCCTCCTAACTCATTAGCATGTCACTGACCTTGTCCCAAGTTAGGGCGTTGTTTTTAGGATGTCGTCATAGATGCGAGGCAAAACAAATCTTAACCCTCCTCCTCTGTTAAGAGAAGGTTTTTGTTTCCTCACAAAAATGGCTTCTTTCACTCCTCTCTCAAACCAATTCTTCTCCCGAGCCAGAATTTTAACCTCTGTGTCATCCACCGTGTGGTTGGAGGCCTTGAGGTGGAGATGAACAGCCGACTGTGGCCCACTAGAGTTTTCTCTACGATGTTGGTAAAGTCGTTTCTGTAGAGTTTGTTTGGTTTCTCCAATATAGTGGTCAGTGCACTCCTCTTCACTACATTTAATTGAATACACCACATTGCTCTGTTTGTGTCTGGGTGTTTTGTCTTTGGGATGCACTAATTTCTGTCTTAACGTGTTGAAAGGTTTGAAATACACAGGGATTTTGTGTTGCCTAAAGATTCTTTGTAGTTTCTCTGAAACTACAAACTTTGTAGTTTCAGAGAAACTACAAAGAATCTTTGTCTCGGGAGAAGAATTGGTTTGAGAGAGGGGTGAAAGAAGCCATTTTTGTGAGGAAACAAAAACCTTCTCTTAACAGAGGAGGAGGGTTAAGATTTGTTTTGCCTCGCATCTATGACGACATCCTAAAAACAACGCCCTAACTTGGGACAAGGTCAGTGACATGCTAATGAGTTAGGAGGGGTGAAACCTGCACTCCACTTGAGCATCCCAGCAGACAATAGGTCTGTGACATGCTAAGGAGTTAGGGTCGTTAGCCTCAGCAGGGTCGTTAGACCTGCTCCCTTCTACATCAAGCAGACCGTAGATTGTTTACGAGTTAGTATCAGGATTAGGGTGTGGCTTACCACACCCATAGGTTATAAATCTCCAACGCGCGGTCCGAGAATTCATTCCCTGAAGAAGTCCCCAGGTTGAGGACGAAACGTCGGGAAAACTTGCTAAGAAGTACAGATGATGGGTGAGAAACCTTCCTTTGCTTTGACTAATCCCTGTACGACTGAGGGCTTACACAAAATTACATTTTATTCTCATTACACCTTACATTTCAAGCAAACCTCAAGTGCTAAAGATACAGGGTTTTTTTTTTTGTTTTTTTTTTGTTTTTTTAGATTGATGTGTTATGAGGCAGGTATTAAGCTGTTATGAAGGAGGGATGGATGGATGTAAATAAAACACTACTTTCTAACCAGCATCAATTGGGGCATATTTACTCATCTAGCTGCTAAACTGCGAGTGCAATGGAACAGTTAACCAATTACATCAAGAGACACATACATACTTGTGTAAAAAGTAAGTAAGTAATCTTTATTTATGTAGCGCATTTTTACAGACCAAGGTCACCCAAAGAGCTTTACAATGTCCAGAGTTCAGATATTGTATTAAAAAGGATTATATGTACATGAAGCAATCTAAATGTTTAATATTCTTCATGTTTGAGGATTCTATTTCGGTTGTGGAGCAGGCGCAAATACATCTTTAAGGGAAAGAAGCTATTTTTGAATTAAATATCAAAATGTATTATTAGATAGTGATTAGATTCACAAACCGGACATGTTATTCTCACTGTATGTCTGAAAGTCCGTTCAACTGGTCAACAACTTCTATACACTTTCTTCACATATTTTTTTTTTCTGTTTCACGTGGGTCGGCCCAGGAATGACAGAGAAATTATATCTAAACTAAAACGTCTAGCTTTTGACATAGTTTGCAGTAAACATTTATCAGAGGCCGTCTAGCATAATTTGAAACTATAGGCTCTTTGGAATCTCCACGCAGGGCAAAAAACAATCGACCCACAGTAAAAAAAAAAAAAAGAGCCACTCCGAAACTGTAGATGCACACACAAATCAATGGACATAAAGGATAACACTGTGCTAAAGGTTTGTGAGAGCCAAACAACTGAATATAACATAGTATTTTTTAAAGTTTCACTCAAATGGAATCAGTTTGCCTAGTACAGCTCTCTTTGTTACGCACACTCTATTTTTAACTGGTTTTGTACTGGTGCTTTTGCCTCCAGCTTCTTGTGTCTTGTGAATAAAAATGTTTCAACTGAGAATCCAAACTGTATACATAAGTGTGTGTTATTTTTACCTTGCCAAGACTGGGCGAGTCTTTAGTTCTGGTGGCAGCTTGCAGCAGGCAGGAGGGGGCCACGGGCGGGTTTTTCTGGATCAAGTCCCTGAAGCAGGTGGAGAACTGAGCAGGAGCCGAATCGGACGCATGGCCTTTTTTCCTTAATGTCAGATTCAACTTTTCTGCCGCTCTGTTGGAATGAGAAAGTAAAGCAAGAGGGAGCTCAGTTACTCACACGTATAGCCTTGGATTTAACGCTTGAGTGACATAATTTGGACTCACTTGGCCAAGAAAGACATGGCTGCGGTGTTGGCGATGGACACCACTCTTGTAATATGAGGGAGTTTGGAGTTTATCTGCACTGCTCCAGCGTCAGCACTCGGCTTGTCTGCAGCCTGTGAAGGGGAAAAAGCTTGTTATAGCAATCCAAAACTCTAATTGCACTTCAGCACCACTCCAAAAGGAGGCTTTTTTGACGCTCAGCAAAGTGATGCTGTGTCCAACTGGAGTGATGTGATCGGGTTAGAGTGGTATTTTGATGTGCATGTATTAAATGTGCGAGAAAAGCTTACAAGTAGTTTGCGGAGTGTTGGTAGATGCACAGCAGCAATTATACCTCCAATAGACAGTAAATATTTTTGGGATTCTGATGTGATACCAGTGAATACTGTTTTTAAAAAAAATTGAAAGCCCCTTGCAAATTGGTACAAGATAAGAAACTCCTTTATGGTCTTTGGACAGGGGTACATTTATTCAATGAGACCAAAAATGAACACAAGTGTATTTTTTTCAGTAGGACATCAAGGGAGATTACACTTCCTCTGATTCTTATGTGCACTTTTTGTTTCAAATTCTCTAAACCAAATGTGCATTTATCATGTCTGAAGAGTTTAACTGTGAATGGTACAAATCTTCAATGAATCTTCTCAATTAAAATCCATTCAATTTGTAGTTGGGGACTTCATACCTTCTCGCTAATTGAAAAAAAAATGGAACTGATGGATTCAAGGTTTTATCAAGTAAAGCAGAGCTGCTGCTACTTCAACATTCATAATAATCATCTATATTGGTCAATCCAACCAGTACTGGTCTAACCAACTTCAATAGCTAGCTAGTTTATCTGTATTTTAGGGCTGAATTATCTTAAAGCAAACTTTCCTTAAATTGGTTAAATAAGGGTTGATTAAATGTGTAGATTACATACTACAATTTCAACCTGACTTTTATTTGTATAGCATTATTCATACCCAAGGATATTCAAAGTGTAAATGATAACTATTCTTCAACACCTTTTACCATCTTTTACTAATTCAAGCTCAAGATCATAATCTGGGTTCATCAAATATGGTCCCAATTATGTTGTATTGATAATCTCCAATTCAATCTTTTATTTCTATTATATGAAATTCAAAAATGAAAACCCTCCATTTATCACTTGCATTACTGTTTCTATGTAATAAACTACAGATCAGATATCCCGTCCTTGTGCATTCTGCTCTCTCGTGTCTAGACTGTCTGGCAGCTTCACCTCAGCATCGCTCTTGCAATAACTGACTTTCAGACCGCCCTCTGCCACGTCCACACCATATCTGAGCATCCTTATTTTATCAACCAGGCTAATGGATTTGTTTCATGGACTACAGTTGAATTATCCAGGATTGTGATGAAAAATTTAACTGTTGCCATATCAATGTCTAATATAGATCAATCACTACAATTCACCCTTTTCTAATATTTTGGTGCTATTACTACTGTTACTGCTATTTCTTATCATAAATTAAGGCTGTAGCAATTAATCACGACTAATTGACTATTTTCAATAATCAACCGCTTTTATTTTTTGCTGTGAGATTTGATGATTTTAAGATATTAACAGAGAAGTGAATGTAAAAATTTCAGAATAACAAAAGAATGATTAATAATCACATAAATATCTTAATTTATGATAACATATTATTGTCTGGAAAAATTGTCTATTAGAATGTTGTCCAGGAGCTTCACTTAAAGACATATTAACTGCAAACAAACTCGACTTTTAACCATTTTACAACTTGTTTGTCATCCGTCACAGACCAGGGGTTGTTTTTAGATCCATCCATGCTAATATCAGTAACTTATAGTAATAGTAATCTTTATTTATATACCGCCTGTTCACTGCAAATCTGAGTCTCAAAGCGGTTTACAATTGTTAATTTTTTGGGCATTTGTCTCTCACTCCACACAGAGATTTTTAGTGGTAGGGGAAACCGGAGTACCCGGAGGAAACCTAAGCAGACACGGGGAGAACATGCAAACTCCACTCAGAAAGGCCCTGGTCCGACCGGGATTCGAACCCAGGACCTTCTTGCTGAGAGGCAAGCTATCCACTCAGCCACCATGCCACCTTCTGGCACAAACATGTCTCAGTCAGTATGATGTCATTGTACCACTATGACATCACACTCAAAAGTATGGCCCATTAATTAGTTTTGGCAATTTCTCAGATTACATTATGTTCTTTGCAATCACACGTCTGTGTTTGCAGCCATTCATTTTCAAATTTGGAAGTTCCAGACGGAAAGCCTTTGTCGTTTTACCCTTAATAATTGTATCAGCATATATTTTCTACTGAAGATATTATTTCACATTCTAAAAAAGCAAAAAAAACGACAAATTAAATAGTCCCATTATCATTTTTAAGGGACAAAAATAACAAAAATCACATATCCACTTCTTATACAGCGATGAAGCAAAGGACTCATCACTTGATTAATCAATTATCAAAATATTTGTTAGTTGCAGCCCCATAATAAACCAAAAGATTCTGCAAAGAGGGTGAAACAAACAGTTAGCACGGAACTTGATTCTTGATTGAGGACTGGTGGGTTAATTAAATAAGGGATTGTCTCATCAGTTTTCCTGCTTGTATCCTGAATGAAGAGCCTCTAATGGGTGATCAAATGAAATGCATGCTGGGATTGGGGCTGATAGTTACTTCCCTTTTCTTTGGAACGAGACCAGTGTTTAAACAAAGGCCTTGAGTATGCAGCCAAAGCAGGCGTCAGACATGTTTAGCAGCCCGTCCAGTGCCACGGCTCTTGCTCAGCCAACACACGCTTAATAATGCATGGGCCTAACATGCTTGTCCAAATGATTATTTCACAGAGACATAAGTGGATAAACAAATTGTTTTAAGTAAAAAGAAACATGTTCATTGTTTTGTATATTTAGAAAACTTAAAGAAATGATTGTTTTTTAAAAAGAAAAATATATGTATTTATTTATATTTATCAACTGAATTCTATTTAACCAGGAAAATCCAACTGAGGTGTCAGAATCTCTTTTTCCAGGGGAGTCCTGGCCCCAGAGGGGGGAGCTTTTGCAGGAGGTTTAGTGATGGGAAACTGGAGCACCTGGAGGAACCTGCGCAGACATGGGGAGAACATCCAAATTGCAGTCAAAATATTAATGATAATAATAAAAGAATCAACATGTGTAATTATTGTACACATTAATTATTGTTGTAAATGTAGACACTATTTGTTATAAAGTAATCAGCAAATGTTAGGAGCCAAAAAGATTTTAAAACAAGCCATTTAAAACATGTTCAAACAAGACACTACATTTTGCTTTTAATCTGAAATTTTATTGTTTTGTGAATGAATGGTTTGCTCTAGTTTGTACAGCACTTCGAGGCAGCGTTAACTGTTTTATAAATGTTCTTTATAAATACACTTGACCATGACTGTTAAAAAAAGGAAAAAAAGGAGGTGCAGGTCAACTGGATTCGAGTTGTGACAATTTTGACCTTTAAGGCAATGAATTGTAATGAGGTATTGAGGTTAAGTTAGACTTTTATCTATGATCTTCGTAGAGGAATGTGTCCTCTGCATTAGACTCATCCTGCAATACGCTATAGGGCCTCTGTCAGGAGCAGAGATCACTCCTGGGGACTTATATCCAGATGTCCATAGTGGGGGAAACCGGAGGAAACCTTGCAGGCACGGGGAGAACATGCAAACTCCACTCAGAAAGGCCCTGTCTGGAGGTGGAATTGTACCCAGGAGTGATGACCACTTAGGTACTGTGCTGCTGTGCCAGTGATATTATTCTTGTTAATATTACAAAGCCTAAGAAGACGTATTTTTAAACAATCAACATTTCTGCATCTGCCAGCATCTCTTGCAGACAGTGGCTTAATTTTCAACCCAGACACAAGTACTCTGTTGGACTTCCCATGACCTAATAATAGACATGATCTCAGAGCCACACTGACGACATCAAGGCAGTAACAGTGCATCTGCATGAAGTGTAAATCCACTTTAATGTCTCCTGTACTAAGAAAACAACATCTGAGACTGAGGCTGATTATATGTGCACTTTGAGACTCATACAGTACATGGTCATTCTGTACATCTTTATACCGTATAACTAAGTTCATTTATGATATCCAGATCCTTCCTTAAAAGCCATGGATTTGGGTCAATTTAATTTAAAGCTCAATCAATTTTTAAGAATTTTTTTATCATGTGTTGAATAAATATAAACTCACCACATTACATTATAGTATTAAAGTGCATGAACTCATTTTACTATAATAAAAATACCACAGATTTGGATATTAGGTTTTTATACTTTCTGGAAAATAGTGTCAATACACCTGGCTGTAAACTCAGCTATAACTTCTATTGTAGCATACATATCATTTATGTATACTATTTGTTTTGTTAACATGACAGATTTTCTATTTTCTTCATAAACTGATAATGCCAAAATATGGCTCATCTTTATCACATTGTATGATTGTTTAACACTGTGGTCTGGATTATGCTATAATTATGTCCTTTGAGAACAAATACAAATGCACGATGTGAGTTCAGAGCATCAATGAAGATTTGAGAATGAATATAGAGAATGTGTCTTAACTCTAGCAGTAGCATTTTCACCTCATTACGATTCAATACAATACAATTTATTCTTGTGTCGCCCTAAATCACAACAGCAGTCATCTCAGAGGACTTAACAAAACCATTGAAATCACCAACACAGATCAGAGAATCAACAGTTAAGACACAATAAATACACATGTATTGGTCCATATGATGAGACCAATGTCCATGAATGTTAATAAATGCCCAAAATTAACAATTGTAAACCGCTTTGAGACTCAGATCTGCAGTGAAAAGGCGGTATATAAATAAAAACTTACTTACTACTTACTACTTACTTACTAATAAATGTCCATATGTTATAGAATGTTAAAGAATGTTAAAGTCAAAACAATTTCCAAGTCTGTGACTTCCTGTTACTTACATGGCAATAAAAATGATTCTGATTCTAGTCTTTTTTTCAACAAGACCATTTCTGCTTGTTCCATTGGCAAAACAGTGAACATTTTCACATCAAAACAACTTTATCTATACATCTAATTTTTATATTGTAAATCGAATCGCAATGCTTGTCATAAAAATCACAATCACTGTAGCGATTTTGCCAATATTATGCAGCCCTCGTATGAATTAATCCATAAAAATGCATTGAACTGCATTGTAAACTCATATTATAATTTCTGCTTCTGTCTGCGCGTCCTTTGTTTTAGCCTAATGTACCTGCTCACGTATGTATTGATCCACTTTAACTTTGGACGAGTCCGGGCTGTAATGCATTCTTTTATATCCAGTCCAAGGCTTCCATATTGTTAGAGCAGAATCTAATTGAATCAACTATATTTTTATGGATATCACATTAATTACAAAAGCCCCAAAGACTAGAAAAAGATATGACTAATGGACATCACAGAAATAATGGACAATATGGGAAAAAGGTCAATTTATATGCATACTATATGATTACTGTCCAGTCCAAAAGGTCCATGCATTCTCAGTCAGACTGTGCATCCCACTGTCACAATAACATACAATTCTACAGGAAAGGTTCAAGGGTTGGAAGCAAGTAATTTAATAACAGAAGGACATTTTCTTGTGTCTTCCCCAAGGGCAACTGGATGGAGATTTTCCTATCCTGAACCACTCTTACCCAAAAAAAAATAGTCACATCTCTCCACAGTAGAGCGTTTTATAAATGCATATGGCTAGGTTTTTTTTATGCATAAATGAGTGTACAGTACAGCTATGGGGGAATGGCTCAGGCTGTCAGAGCACATCTGCAGAAACCAAACAATCTAGGTTTGTTCTGTGCGGTAATAAGTCATAATAGTGTTACAGCAGCTCATAGTTAGCTCCAATAAAAATCACAGCACCTTTCATTTGTGTTCCTTGTTTTTCTGTCTTTATGAGGAAATAAATTGAATGGACAAAAGATCAGTGTCACAGGCTTATGCAGCACTCAGATCTTATATTCTTTTTGTGTGGCTTTTCTTCTAGGATGAATAATATAAAACGCACAGCATGAGAAAGTATTGCATGTCACAGTGCAAGAAAAGAAGACATTCACAATAGACAGGCAATTAGACTGTGCAATCTATGTGTATCTTTAAACACAATTATACAATGTCATAATTTTGTGATTTCTGTTGTGATAAAACTGGAACCACAAAAATAACTGTGATGAAATTTGTGTAATTAGTTCTCAAATATTTTTGAATCTGGTCCTTTTTCCACATTTACTGCTTTTTCAGTGATAAACCCTCATTTGTCCACAGAACGTTACTTAAACAAGACTCTTTCTGTAAAAAATACAATGTGTTTATGAAACCAAAGAAATGTTTGGTTCTCCAGCTTTAAATGGCAACGATTAATCTCATGCTCATGTTAAATATTGAAACATTTGTTTCAGTCAAAATCCAATCCAATTGAAAGCTGCTGCCAATCAATATAAGGGGGAAACAATGTTTAGTCATGTGTTTTTATCTCATAAGGGCTTTTTTATTTTGACTTTAACTGATGAATAAAGGGTGAACTGACATGGTCTGATATGCGTTCATTCAGCTGATATATATTCTTCTTATTGGATGTGATTTACACAATTGCAGGAGGAGCCAATTCAAGATCCCCAACAAACATAGCTTTTAGTGTAAAACCATAAAACCTTCCCCATTGGATCATATTACGTTACTAAAATGATTAAATCTCATTCAACAGTGGCTCTTAAAACTCCATATTCAAACGCTTCCAATCTGTTCCACCATAATAGATTAAAGGACTGTGCTGGTCTTCACCTTGAATGGGTTTGTAACCTTTTTATTGGGAACTGGGGGCAGACGCTTCCATCGCAGTAATGCACACCTCTGTTAAATATTCCCATCCCCCATATCGATCACAAGTGCTTTTTGACTGGCCGGCTTCATATGACAAGGGTAAATCATGACCCAATTCCATTCCATTAGCAAAAGTACTTTTAAACAGCGTGCACACACCACCGCAGCAGCTAAATAGACTGTGATTAGCGCACATAAATCACTGCTTTTGCAACGCCAGTAAAGATATTCTCTGTGGTGGGATGGCTTTTAAAAGGGGGCACACTTAAGTGATTTAGTGATAGGCTCTTTACCTGATGGCGAACGCGTGGGAGAGTTGATTTAGACAACGACAGCTGCTTCTGCTCTTCCACCCAGCGGTCCATGTCACGATGGGGGGACTTTGCACCCCTCCTTCTAAGCGTTTGAGGTGTCCGCTGAGGGGTCTTGGGGCTCGGAGGTGGCCTGGCGTGTTGGGGGCTGTACTGATTGCGGAGAGGACTGTGGGTTCTGCTTCGGAAATGTTGCAAAGTCCTGGTGAAGTCCCTGGACGGCCGCTCCTCATATCGGGTCAGCGTGGGGTCCAGGTGCCCCAGTACAGAGGCAGAGGCAAAGGGCGGGTCGGAAGGTTCGAAAGGGGATCGTGTGGGAGTCTGGCCGCGGTTTAGAGCCAGAAAGATGGCCTCCTGCTTCAGGTCATTCACACTGGTGCCACAAGTGCTGCACTCGCCGTGCTCCCACGAGTCTGTAGGCCGACTGTGGATGCGCAGGTTGGCGTGAAGAAAAGATGAGAGATCACTGGAATCCTGCAATACACAAGATTATCAGCACATCAGTAATGAAAAGAAGAAGATATTTCATATAGAACTGCAACTCAATGCCATGGTCTGCTTCAGTTGGTCTTGGACATCTGTGCACCTACACCAAAAAATACTGTATCATCTATGTTTAAGATGCACTCAATGCCAGACTAGATCAAAATTGTTCCCTTCTTTAATTAAGTCAGTTGTGTTCAACAATGCTCTAGTCTAGATCATCTAATGAAGATGTATTATCATTGTTGCTTTGCATTGTTGATTTAATAACCTATTACATGTTATTGGGTGAAATGGAAAATGTTTTTGGTTGTGTAGATAATTATTTTTAGATTGATGTAAAATGATTTGGAATGCAGGCCATTACAAGATTGCCCAAACATGCAGGAATTGTTCAAAATACCAGATAACGTACGAGGGAAAGTCATAAAAATGCAAGTTCATCTTTAATAAAAGTATTCCATCTATAATATATCTCCTTTAAAGAACCACATATTACTTCTGGTTAAGACATACATATACCTAATATGTTACTTGATACCTATGTTTCCAAAAAACAACCCTGACATTTGTATAGCACATTTCCATCAAGGAACCAAACATCCATTCACACCGATTCAAACACCAGTGCACGCAGACACAGGGAGCGAGGCGGGCGTGTCTTGCCCAAGGACACACAGCAGTATTCACCAGTGGGAGCTGGTTTCAACCTGCCAACCTGCCAGGCAGTCGATCTGGCCGCTCAACCAATGACGTCAGGAGTATGATTCGAACCGCCAACCTTCAGCTCTCTGATCTTTCAACATCCAAGTCTAATCAGTAGGAAGTAGAGAATACGTAAGTGCAGCAACATGAAGAAATATCCATATATCCTCACCCCCATATTCCATATTTCACTGTGCCTAAAGCAACTGTAACCATTCCACCTTTTCTGTATCTGAACAAAAACCAACATAGCAAGAAAGCAAAGTTTAGGCACTTGGAGACCTGGTTTTCCCTGTGTTTATTCCTGTTGGGTTGAGGATACCTTTAGTTTCTTTCAGCATCATAATTGCACCACAGAATGTCTACAGCAGACCAATGTGTGGAAAGCTTGACTCGTGTCCACCATCTCAGCAGTGGTGTATTATTGAGCACATGACACCAGCGCTCATTTGGTGGTGAATCTAACAAGACAGACGACCGAGCAAATGTAGAGTGAGGCGCTGGGAGGAGCGGCCGGCAATCTTAGCACTTAGCGGAGTAATCACGAACTCTATTGATTAAAAACATCACTATCATTTTAGAATCGCAGCATGTAAGCAAAACAGGGCCATAGAATCATGTTGCAGGACGTCACGGAAAACAAAATGATGTAAAAGATGTTTGTGTCATGATGAGGATGAAAGCCAATGGATTTATGTCTACAGTCCCCACGAGATTCATCCTTACAACTTTATTACAATATACAGGTGAAACTCGGAAAATTAGAATATTGTTCAAAAGTTCTTTCTGTAATTCTAAATTTAAAATGTGCAGGCAATTAATTATATATGAAGTGATATATGTCAAACCTTTGCTTGTTACATTGTTGATGAGTATCCCTGACATTATTATTATTATTATTAGCAGTAGTATTTAAATGTTTTGAATTGCATTAAATTTGTATTTATGTTTCATTTTGGGTTTGGTTTTAACCAGCTCATTATTTCATTATCATTATAACAAAAATAATCAGTTTCTCATTGTTGAATTTCAGAAGTACAGAGAATTTTGAATGATATTCTAACTTTTATCTGAATGGTAACATTACAACAAATGCATATGGAACCAAGTATGTGAACCGGATTTGTATATTTATATTGACTTTTATTCAACTGAAATTATCCTGAAATTATCAAATAAATGAATCCTGACCTCATCTTTTTGCACATTACCTGTTGTTTTCACATTTCCTGAATGATCCTATTTATGCCAAATGTGACATATAAATTTCTCCATTGTGAGATTAATAACGTTTTATCTTATCTTATCCTCATACATCCAAGTATTAAAAAAATAATTCCTGCGTTTTATTTGGCAGTTGAAGTATGGATCTAAATCTATCTTTCTCAAGTTAAAGAAGTCACAGTATGTTTGGCCCGCCCTGTGCTCTCCTTGAGTGCCCCTTGCCCAGTCGATCAATGGAGGCGCTGCCAACACAGTGCCAGTGACCCATGCAGCCTCCCGGGAGTACTGCACTTCGCACTTAGCCCCCAAAAACACGTCCCAACTCCAGAAGGACAAAACAGCATGACAACATAACAGCTACTAAGGCGGAGTTTCAAATGATGTCACACCCCCCTATTGAGATGGTAATGGGAGGATCGGTGCATTTTATACTATTGTGTTTACCACATCTGATACACCTTCATAATTTAAATGACAGATAAACTTGACATCTGTTCAGATGTGTTATCTGCTTTGTCTTTGTTTACATTGTATATTTACACATGTGTAGTATCCTATTATCTGTGTATTTTATACTGTAAATGTGTACATATTCACAGTTATGTATAAATAAAGGTTAAATAAATAAATAAATTCCTACTTCCAGATTATTCTATTCTCTCAATAATATTTTATAATTGTTCATGTTTTCAGGCTGTTACTTTATTTTTATTTTCATTTTTATTTTTATGTGGAATACTATGCAAGCTTCTGTGACAGCGCAATTTCCCTTGTGGATCAATAAAGTCTGTCTAAGTCCAAGTCTAAACCAACATTTCAAGGTGCTCTCAATTGTTGTAGAAGTTGAGAGCAGCTATTTCAGTCCATATATATGATGGACTGTCACCATTAAAACCCCACCAGGCTTTCAAACTGGCAAAGTCAACATTGCAACAGTGTCATGATGCGATAAACAATATTTAAGCTATACTGACATAATAACTAATACTAACAGCACATGAAATCCCCTCAAAAGGCAAACCCTGCAAGAACTATATAGCAGAAAAAAGCAAAAAATACCAAACACCTTATTTTACCGTTCACAGCCAATCATTTTTCACTTGTTTTTTTGTGTTATTATGATTGCTATTCCATTATAATTCTTCCTGCAGTCCCATTTGATTTGTGTTTGGTTGCAACATCATTGAAACTAGCATTTTAAAAATTCTATTTGTTATAATCATAATCACATTGAAGTCGCCTTGCCCTGCAGACAGAGGTGCAGGCATCTCAGAAGGGCCTCCCCCACCTTTTAACTTGTGGCCCATCTGGATATAAATATTCCATTGACCATATGGCAACTACTGTACACTGAAGACTTTTCCATTTCACAGACTATCCGCCCATATAATAGAGATCATATAGTGAACATGGAGCCATTTTGAAAAAGCTAATCAATACAAAAACTGCCTTATCAGGTTTCCACTGACCATCTTAGTGGCCACAAGATAGCATTATCTCTCAACATGGCAAAGCTCTGATCTGTGGTCTTAAACGCTTTGATGAATATTGTTTTCTCTGACGGAGACTAAAATAAATCGCCTTTTCTCCGCAGACTAGACGCTGGAGATGACAGAGTTGTTTGTATGAAATATTTATGCCCATTTGAAACCACGCAGAGAGGGTTTGCGTTTGCCATAGATGATGGATGCACTGAGTGTTTGGACATGGCTCTCAAAGGCAGCATCAACTCTCCCCCCTGAACAATAAACACCTTTTTATTGTCTTAAATGATGGAATGAAATATGTCCAAAACAATAATTATGGCAATTCAGAGGGAGTAAAGTGCACTTGGTTCAATATGAGGTTCAACTTGGGTTATTCTCATTGGTGCTAAAATGTCTAGCTTTTCAAATATTGGCGACAAAAGGGACATATATTAAGGATCTCTTATTTCATCGCATAAAAAATACAATATTTCTATCACATGAGGACCCAGTTCTTGCAAAATAGCACAGTCTTTTGGAAAAACTGCACTCAATTGTGTTTTCAGTCAGTGAGATTATTCAAGGATCTTCAACGCAGGGGATATCCAACAAAAGGTAATCACAGAACTTCAAAAAACATTGTATCTTTCTAATGTACTGTGATTATTTATGTCTTATCTGTGTATGATTTTGAATTTTTTGTTAAGCACTTTGAGTTTTATTGTGTCTGAATAGATCTTGCCTTGCCAATACTTAAGTATAAACTTTTGTAGCTTATAGAAGTGTTTGCTGATTTTTGTTATGCCTTAATCTATTCTTTGCATCTTTTCTTTGACTGTTGCACTGAGCCAAAGCAATTTCCTAGGCTGTGACTTCTTGTTACTTACATGACAATAAAAATTATTCTGATTCTGAAATAAGTACAGTAACGTTTATATAGCGCATTTCACAGACCAAGGTCACCCAAAGCACTTAACAATGTTCAGAGTTCAGATATTTTCCCATTCTCTCCAAATTTTCCCATTTTCCCTACAATGTAGGGGAAACCGGCGCACTAGTTTGGGAAACCGGAGAACCTGGAGGAAACATGTTAACTCCACTCAGAAAGGCCCTGTTCCAACCGAACCCAGGACGTTCTTGCTGATAGGCGAGAGTGCTATCCACTCAGCCACCGTGTCGCTGAGTGAATAGCTGAAGTTAAAGCAACCAGAAAATGCCATTTCCTGTGACAATCTCAAATCCAGCTCCAGCCCATTGATGCCAGACACTATGGGCAGAAGACCTTGGACAGAATCTATGAGCTCATGTATCAGACAGCCGTCTCTCATGTGAAGTACACTCACGCCAGCTTTCGCCCACCATCCATTCAACAGTCATTCATGAACACGTCTCATGCACACCATTATGTTATTGAAACTGATACTGGACTCTGATTCGTTTATGACTTTTGCCTCAGGAAATCTGTCTGAAAGAGAATGCAGCCAAAAGGATGGACACCTAATACAATGGATTGATTATTCAATTATATATAACGTAGAACAGAAGACGACTTTGAACTAAATGAAAACCTTTCTTCAGCTGAATTTGAATTTCCTTTAAGATCAAATAACAATCTATACATCAATTTATCCATCCACACATCCATCCATGTATCTTTCTTTCTTTCTATCTATATATCTATCTGTCTATCTATCTCTAACCCCTATCCATAAGTAAACAATTTCATCCATAATTTGAATAGCCTTTCATGAAAATATGGCCTAAATCCACTATTACACACATTTTACAATTTGTTATTTGCCAACAGCCTTTGATATGTAATCCAATCAACATCACTACATCATTAGATTAGTAGTGAAACTGGTGTTTAAATACTAACCTTGCATGAAAACTGTTGATGAACCGCCAAGCTCAGGGCTTGTTTCTTCAGCCCGAGCAGCGTAGTAGAACACTTCTCACAACAGGTAACTTTCCTCTCGGTCCGCCCCAGTCCGGCCAGCGCAGACACCGTGCTCTTACACAGGGTCCCGGTCCCGTATGACATGGTGGACGCGCGCTCCCCGACTCCGTATCCAGGCAGGGACTTGTAGGACGCTCGTTGGCACATCGTACTGACAAGCGCGTCGTCTCTGGAGCCTTCGGGAACCGGGCGGAGGGTGGAAAAGTCACCGTGATGCTGCGCCGGTGTGTCCTTGGATGGAAGTGTGGACAAAAAAAAAGGTTTTACGCATAAGCAAATAATACAACAATGTAACCAACACACTGAGTAGGAGCAACATGTAACCATCAAAGGGGTGAATAGTTTTTCTTTAGATAATATACAACGAACGACTTACCCAAGCAGTGCCTCTCCCCAAGCCGGTAAATCTCTCTCCTCTTCCAGTCAGTGATGACATGATAACTTGTTAATATTTAAAAGCATATCCGGACAAAGGCAGCGGTGATTTGGAGGTAAGGTAGAGGCAGCTGGGCGAATAATAGAATAAATAAAGGTCCAGTTCATTTTGGGGTTGGTGGAACAGTGAAGGATTACAGAGAAGCTTCATGGGACGAGAGACGCGCGGGGGAGAAAGAAGTGAAGTGAAGAAGTGAGCGCATCGAAGAGCGTGGATGGAGAGGTAATGCGCACCGCTAGAGGGCGATGTGCGGAGTTCAAGAGTTTTTGTAACAGTTTAGTGCTTCTGCTGAATGAATGGATGGATACTGAGGCATTTCCACATGACAGTATGCTAGAGCAGTGTTCCCCAATCTTTGTTATCTTAGCACATAATTATTATTTTTCTTAGCACCTTTTCATTTTTTAACACTTAGATATTGGATATATTTTTAAGGCACACCGATAGACTGGCGCATCACATCAGTAGAAAAACTCTGAGGGATATAGACTATTTTTTAGCTATTATAACAGGCCAACTGTCAATATATCACAGTTTTTTTCAGTCGCTTTGTGATCAGAAGGAAAGTTCTCACAACTATTGTATTTGTTCAACCTCCGCAACATTGAGACATTTGTGCACATCATCGTAGCAGTTTCTCATTCCTTTGAATTGCTAATCCTTTTGGATATGTATCAGATACTTTCATACAATTATCTGCTGTTTTATAACATTATCATTTGCTTCTGTTCTGCAAGCAAAATGAAACATGCTTATGAAGCTGAATATTCATATAGTCCCCATTTCATTGTTTGAGTCATTACATGCAAAATTGTTGAACTAGTTGTCAAAATGTGTTGCCTTCAAGGGAAGACATCCGCTGTGATGTATACAAAAATATGTGGCCAGACATTATTGCTGTGGCAGTACAGCAATAATGTATGTTCAGTTTACAGTAATATGTACTGTTGTATTGATTACATCTGTGCACAGTTCTACCATAGTGATATTTCTTGTGTTTGTTCTAAATACAGTAAGTCACAATGTATTTTGTTTTGCACAATGCTGTAGAATTGCAAAGAGTTTGCAAAGAGCATGTAGTAAATATGGGAAATACACACATATCATATCCTGTACTATGTGTATTGTGTAACTTTACTGTTGTCACAATGAAAACACAACAAAGCCATTTGACAATGGTGTCAGGACTTAATATTTTTGATGACACAGACAGTTTCATTGACATGAATACTTGCTTTTGAGAAATAAACTATTCATTGTGATGCACTTTTACAGTTATCCACTAGGTTTTGCAGTTTGTACAAATTGTTCTGAGAAATTCTCTAACTGTTGTGCAAATATTAACAGTGATGTGAGAAATGCACCAAAACGACTGAAAATATAGTTGATACAAGATCACATTCTCGTGGTGATGATGAAAATAAGAATGTTGTTTGGAGTATTGAGTAGTTCGCATGGCATAATGTTACGTACAATGTCTCCATCTAGTGGATGAAAGATCGAAGCTGCAGAAAGTCTAAATAGACTTCACTAGTTTGGGTCATCTTCTCTTTTATGTGGTCCTACGGTATTACGACTTTTGTTCACATGGGCATTTACACACTTTTGACATATAAACCAGTGAATACGGCCGGATATATTTATAATTAATTATAGCTTACTTCCCTGGATGCCCTCTGGATTGCCCTTCTATCTATGAATGCATAGTTTTATAACTTTTTTCTGCAGTAATGTATTCTACTCGTATAGCCTACCTTTAAATTTAATTCTGAAATATTTAAACAAGCTGAACTTGTGAGACATTAGTCGAGAGCTGGTGGCAGATGTCCATGGGTCATAAGAAACTAGGTTACGGCCAGGCGACGCACACCATACACAAATAAAACTGAATTGAACAAAAAGACCACTTTTCAGCTTAATATGACGGTCATATTTGGAAGAGGCAATTCATTTATTTAGTCTGAATGCACACAGTTAGGGAGGGATAAGATTATTCACTTAGGTTTCGTTCTTTTGTTCGCTTGTGACAGATGGCCATTGATGAAGCGTGTTTTTCATGTGTTTACGGTAGTTGACCGATCTCCCCTAGCACCCTGAAACTGCCCAGAGTTGCCATATCCTTATTTTATATCGAGTATGGGCTTCTGGTGCACCAATTTGTGTAAATATGACTATAGTTGGGCAACATATTACATTCAAAAATACTTAAATTGCATATAGTCTCTAGTAGTTGTGTTTATGTGTAAAGTTTATTATTCCCCTGGTGGAAATTTGTTTGATTTTTTGTTTATTTGAACAGTATTCATTCTGCTCATATCATTCTGACATGAGCACCCCCCACTCCCCACAGTCAATACTCAAACGTTTCATATCACAATAAAAATAGAGAACAGGGAAAAACAAAACAAACTTTATCCACATCATTTATTGTGGAAAAATCAACAGTAAACGGAATAAAGAATATAATTGGCAGTGTCTTATTGAGAATAGCCTCACTGACAACCTTTCAAGTCAGATCTCGCAACATGAACAGCAGATTCATTTTGTGGGGAATTGGGGCCTATTATGCTTGTCACAAACTTTATTTATTTGTATTTTAATGGCTAGAGTCTTCCTGGGTCTTGTGAGGAGTTTTTTAAAGATGGGACGTTGTGCATTGATGAAATAGATTAAAGAATAACAATTGAGAGAAATACTCTAAATAAGGTTGTCATATCGCGAATTCCTAATGTAACATACTTTAATTGGGTCATAATTATTTACATGGAGATATTGCTAACATTCCTGGCAAAACTATGAATACGGTATTTATAAAAACCCCCTCTGATCGATCGAAACCCAGTGCGCGCTCCTTCGGACATTACGGCCTCCACAGTCGCTCCTCCCCCACACCGCGCTCTTTAGCCGGCTGCACAACCCTCTCCCAGGCGGGCTCACGTCACATCGGCGCACGGATCGACATCCACCAGACCGAAGCAGGCCGTCCGCATATTTATTTACCCGTGTTATTAACTTATTTTAACCCACAAACCTTCGCGATGAGTTCAATCAACGTGAAAAAACTTAAAGTGAACGAGCTGAAGGACGAGTTGAAGAAGCGCGATCTCTCCGACAAAGGGCTGAAGGCGGAGCTGATGGATCGTCTGCAGGCCGCGCTGGATCAAGAGGCCCTCAGCGACTCGCCAGCTCCCGACGAAACGAGCCAAGAGCAGGGTATGGCAGAGGAAGAGGAGGGCGAGGGAGCTCTGGAGGAAGAAGCAGAAGCCATGGAGCCAAATGACGAAGATGAAGCCGAGAATGGCGGCGGTGGCGGCGGCGATGGTGGAGAGGAGGCTGCAGCGGATGAAGAGATGGGTGAGGGCGAAGGAGAAGAGGAGATGGACCCAGAGCTGAAAACTGAGGAGGAGGAAGAGGAGAAAATTGACGATTTGGAGGGTGAGCCAGGGGACCAGGCTGAAGGTGAGTGCTAGAAATGATTCCCTAACGTTACTTGCTGTCGGTGTTTTTGTAGCGATACTGCTGGAGTCTGAAGCGGCGTCCATGTTGTAGTGTGTGTGACCTCGTTAGGTTAGCAAGCCTATCCTCAACTGACACTGTTAGCCTCCGTGTAGCTAATACCTGCTAGCACCACTCATTCGACCGAGCGATTAATACTTGTTTAAATGTGTTTGGTAGCATTGCTTGACTCTATATGCTTTGGTCTGGCGTAGTTTAGTGAATGCATGTTGATATTGAGAAGCCGTGTACTGTATTCGGTCTTTCTGCGCCTGTTAGCATGCGTGCTAGTTAGCGGCTCTTTGTGTCTTTGGGGTTAGCGATAATGCTAATGGTTAGCCGGGTAGCGTTTTCAGTGGTTCCCTTGGATGATTTTGCTGTATGTCGTGAAATGGATCAATTAGTATATCTACTTGTGTGGACACGTGGTATTTCTTGTGATTTAAAAACTACGACTAGCTAGCACACAAGTTGAATGTAATTGTAGTCCGTGGGAACCTCCTGAAATGGCTGAAAGGAAGTCGCACATGCGCCAGTGCCGTATCTCCGTGGCCTGATCGTTGTTTGAATCTGGTACACGAGGTTTGGGTTTCAGGGCAAATGTAGCTGTGGGGTGGAAAAGAAGCAGTGGGTTTATTATAATTTGCATGTCGCTTTTGACTCTGTATTTTGAAACGGATCAGTTTGCACTTTTACTTTAATTTTAGATTTAACTTCAGCCCCTACATTGTCAGTTTTCCCATGGACCAGCTTACATAAACTATTACCTGGTCATTTGATGGACTTACTGAATGACTTTGTTTTGTTCTAATTACAGTACATTACGAGGTGTTACCTTTTCACCTATTTTCATGGTCGACTCTGTAACTAATGACCGGGCTTTGTGGGCTAACCTCCCACTGCCAGTCCGACCTCTTTTATCCAAAAGGAACACCTCATTCTATATCTTTGTTCTATTTTCAAAGGGGATGCGGACAAAGACACGAATGCTGATCAGAAGAATAAGAAGGGTGTTAAGAGACGCCGGGAGGAACATGGAAGGGGCTACTTTGAATTTATTGAAGAAAACAAATACAGCTGGTAAGGATGGGACAGAGCAAAATGGCCTTCAGCATCCCTGAAGTGCCATCCATAGCTTTGTTACTATGTATTGGCGTTAAGTGCCAATGCACTTACATATATATACATTATACAAGAGGAAAACCCTCACTTAAATGTAAACATTTCTGATTAACTTTATGTTGACATGTTTTGAGGGTCATCCCTGACTATTCAAAGCCTTACCATTTACCTTTTCAGTGCCCTGTCATTTTGTCTTAACTGCATTCTGTAGCAGAAGTGCATATATTAAGTATCACTGCTCATTTGTTCCTCATTATAATGTGCAAAACACAGTTCTGTCCTCAAGGATGAAATAAGGATGCTCAAAGACAGTGAAAGGAAGTCAACTTTGGGGGAAAAGGGTGGGCTGGGTGGGGTGAGAGGCGTGGGTGGAGGGTCTACGGCTGCAGGAACCATGTTGATGCTCTAGTTTTACCATCTCCCGGAGGAATCCGCTACCGATTGCCCATCGTTTGCCTTTTTGTTCTTGTTGTATGTCGTCAAATGCAAATTGTTACTTTACATTTGCGCCGATATGTGCGCGCAAGTTGTTCTTATTCCTGTGCACGATTTGTTGAACGTATGAATAATTTTGTCATTTTTTTGTGTGAATACTTTTAAATGAGCTACAGTTATATTAACTTCAATTATTTTGTTTGTCTTGAGAAATGCCCTTTGCAATATGGCAAAAGACTGTTATTTTTATTTTGTATTCTGGATCAACGAAGCAGTGTTCTCTTCAAAAGATGCACGGAACAGCTGAAACAACTTGACTTTTAAAGGACTGCAATTAATCATTCTTTGAATGTGTGCTTCTAATTGTAATACCAGCAAAAAAAATCAATCTTTTATTTTGCTTGACCTGTAAAAAGCAAAAAATCAAAGGAAGAGTTGGACTTGTTTTAATATATACTGATTAAATTATGTAATTGATCCACTGCACTGGAGGTAAGGTTAGTAGAGGCATTTCCAGTGTTGTAGCTTCTGATCTGAATGTTGTAGAGTTCCATGGAGAGTGGAGGTAAGTGCTCCACAAAGTAATTTTTTAGTTCAACAGTTTTGTTATAGAAATCTACTTTTAACATCTTTGCCCTAAAGTGTCTTTGTAATTGACTTCTTGCTGATGGGTTTTCTGATAAATTTGTTGCAGGGCTTCATTCAAGACTCCTGTTCCCCCTCTTGAGGAAGAGGATGAAGAGTTTGATGACACTAAAGTGTGCTTGGACACCTGTAAGCTTGGGGCCATATAATTTTGAGTATGTGAATTTGCATCAAAGTAGTGATTCATTGTGTGGTACTTTTTAGACAACTGTGACCTGCACTTCAAAGTTTCCAGAGACCGCTACAGCGCCTCATCTCTCACCATGGAAAGCTTTGCTTACCTCTGGGCTGGAGGCAAAGCCACATATGGTGTGAGCGAAGGAAAAGTGTGCTTTGAAATGAAGGTACGCTGACTTTTTTTGGTCATGTAAACTGCTCTAATATGCTGTCAGAACAATTTTGAATGAAAGATATGTTCCACAGATCACAGAGAAGATCCCTGTAAAGCATGTTTCCAGTAAAAACATGGAAATACATGATGTGCAAGTCGGCTGGTCACATGCTACTGGCACTCTGCTGCTCGGTCAGTATTACACTTCACTGATTGTGGTTTGTCACTAATGTTATTCAGAGAAGCCATGCAGTTAAACCCTACTGCTTCACTTTTGTAACCAACTTTTACTTTGCTTAGGTGAGGAGGAGCACTCTTATGCCTACTCATCTAAAGGCAAGAAGACTACAAACTGTGTGACAGAGGACTACGGAGAAACCTACGATGAGAATGATGTCATCTGCTGCATGATTGTGAGACGCCTTTCTGCTCCTGCACTTTAATTGGACATAACAGGAAAATAACAGTAACGTTTTAAATTTGCTTCTGCAGGATTTTGAAGGTGAAGAGGTGGTCATGTCATTTTCCAAAAATGGTGGCGAGCGCAGTATTGCATTCCAGGTGCCTAAAGAGAGTCTAAATGGCAAAGCGTTGTTCCCACATACCATCTGCCACAACTGCGCTGTTGAGTTTAACTTTGGCCAAATGGAGACTCCGTACTTTCCTCAGCCAGAGGGCTATGTCTTCATCGAGCAAGTTGCTGTGGACAAGAGAGTGCGTGGACTTAAAGGACCACAGACTAAGGCTGACTGTGAGGTAAGTCAATGTCTAACCTGGTTTATTTAAGATTCAATTTTTAACAGTGAGAAATATATTGCTTAGATAATTGTGATGGTTGGCCTCCCTGGCTCTGGAAAAACCACCTGGGTGAAGAATCATGTGCAAGAAAATCCTGGCAAATTCTACATCTTGGGCAGTGACACCATTGTGGAGAAAATGATGGTATGTGCTTGACTTTCTTGTATGAATGTAGCATTTTGGAATGTTTCCGGCTTTAATTTTGTATGTTTGATTCCAACAGCTTAACAGTTTGAAGCGCCAGTCCAAAGATATCTCTAAGCTGGTCGGGATTTCCCAGCGCGCACCACTTTTCCTTGGGAAGTTCATTGAAATTGCGGCTCGTAAGAAGAGAAACTACATCTTGGATCATGTAAGCAGATCTACTTTTTCTTGTCATGGAAATCTGTAGCCCATGATAAGCAGTCTGAAGTATTATGAACTGTAAACAGATTAGACTTAAACTTTTGAGTAAAATGACAATTTAAAAAAAAAATTCACAGACAAACTTGTCAAGCCCGGGTCAGAAGAGAAAGATGTGCCTGTTCGCTGGATTCAAGAAGAAGGCTGTGGTGGTGTGTCCCTCAGAGGAGGACTTCAAGGAAAGAACTCAAAAGAAAGTAGAGCTTGAAGGCAAGGAAGTGCCTGAACACGCCATGCTGAAAATGAAAGGTATTACCCTAGTTTTTGCAGCAGGGAATTATCACATCATATTTTTAGATTAAGACATTTGGAGTTACTCCACTTTGTTTGTTGTCAATCGTGTAAAAATACTTTCTCTGTGCAGGATTCTTCACTGTGCCAGAAGAGGGTGAAAGTTTCAGTGAAGTGATTTTTGCTGAGCTGGAGAAAGAGGAGTCCACTAAGCTACTGGAACAATACAAGAAGGAGGCTTCGCTCAGCCTTCCTGCTGAGAAAAAACCCAATCAGGGCAACACCCTTCCCAAGAGAGGAGGTGGCCCACGAGGAGGCGGCGGCAGAGGAAAGAATCAGTTTGGACGAGGTGGTTCAGGACCAAGAGGAGGACGTGGAGGCTTCCAGCAGCACAGGGGCGGCTTCAGAGGACGTAAGTCACTATCATCCAAATCTTCTAAGTTGTGTTTTGGGCAAGACCGTAACGAGTGGCCATCTGTACAGATCCTGGTGGTCCTCGTGGTGGCTTCAGTCGACCTCCCCGTGGATTCCTGCCTCCCCCAGTCTTTAGAGGAGGATATCCAAACCGTGGAAACTTCTCCAGAGGTGGAGGTCCTATGCATATGGGGGGTTCCCCCAGGGGTGGACCCATGAGGGGAGGCATGGGCCCCAGAGGAGGTCCTATGAACAGAGGAGGACCTATGAACAGGGGGAACATGAATCGTGGAGGACCTATGAACCGCGGGGGCAACAGAGGACATCACGTTGGGGTAAGTGTCCAGTGCAGTCTTTTACCTGGTCTAGTAAATAAAGTACAACATCTAGTGACCAGCTTCAATTTATATACATTTCCTCCCCCTCCCAGTTTCAGCAGAGAGGTGGTAACCGTGGCAACTTCGGAAACAAAAATGGTAATTTTGCTGCAAACCGTAACGGTGGGAACAGGAATGGAATGGACAAGGCTCAGGCTTTCAACCAGAGCTGGCAGCAAGGGGTCAGTATTGCTATTGCAGTATTTTATTTATTTTCAAAAGCATTGAGTTTTAAACAATTTTACTTTGTCTTTTTGTGCAGTTTTGGAACCAGAAGCCCTGGAGTCAGCAGTACCAACCTGGATATTTCTAAGACTTTATTAAATTGACTGGTGGTCCAGTGACGTCCACCTCTCGCCACGGAGCATCCACTATACCTGCTTTTTGTTTACGTCCAATAACTCCACACCCACCCAAAGCTGCAGCAGACATCTGGAACATTCCACGTCCTGAGACTTTCTACAAATTTATTGTGTGTGGATGTGTCTCGTTGAGTCAGATTATCATTTTGATGTAAATTTTATCATTTGTTTTCTCACAATTTTAATGACCTGCTTTTAAAACGTCGAAGTCTGATGCGTCTAGTCCTGTTTGGCGAACGCGGAGCAATGATTTCAGGGTTATGCGTTTTAACTGTGCTGTGATTTAATTATTACTTTTGCTTTTTTTTTTTATTATAAATTGTAAATATTGTTTTTGCGTAGTTTGTATGAAAAGTGAACATCGACAGGAATGCTTCTAGAAAAATATTATTGTAATAGACCCATTAATTGTCAAGCATATAAAAAGTTGCTGATTGCTTTTTCCGCCATATAGTACTGCAAACTTCAGCCCCACAATAAATCTATGGCTTTTTTTACTGTTCTACCGCCTTGACTTTCACTTTAGCACAAAGGTGTGTAGAGTACCTTTTGAATTACCTATAGACCTTATCGCAGTATTTAAAGAACTCTATTTTTGGCCAGACATGTTAAATTTTAAGCCATTTTATAATGTATTTGTCTTGTTTCTATATCAGCTAGTCAAATAGTATTGAAGTGTTTTAGCATTTTAATGGTAGACTTGAACGGCACTGGATACATATAATTGAGGCACATTTGATTTAGTACTTTAGTTATTCCACACAATTTAACTGGAAAAGGCATATTGTGCAGCTGCCTGATTGGGCGGGTTATTTCACCAGCAAATAAGGGCTACACCACTTTTCCATTTCCCCAACACTTCATTAAACAAATCTAATTAGTTTTCCTCATTGACTGTGGCCCTGCAAAATTGGCAGCTCTGGTCTTAACAAATCTCATTGCAACAATATTTAATCTGAATGTTTTCCAGCTACGTCAACTGTTTAACTACTTTATCATTTAATTTGTAAATACAGCCCTGATGCATGGATGCTTAATGGAAGTTTCCCTGATTGCCCGAGTACTGCTGTGTCTAAATGTGTAATATTTACTGTTCGATTGGGTGTTTAAGACTTTTCTCAGTTTACAGCATAAAAAATGTATCAAATATTGTCACAAATTCTATTTTTTATCGCCTTTCATTTGCAGGTAGATTATCAGGTATTATTGTAAATCCTACAGCAGTTTGATATTTTGTCTGTATTAATAAATATAATTACTGAAGTCTGTCCATGTCTCATCCATTTATAAAGGAACCTATGCAGAAAACATTTAAAACCATGGCATCAACATATGAAAGCTATTTATCTAGAGCTGTAATTAACTATTTTGACTATCATAACATCTAAGAGGCTATAGATATACTGCATTATCAAATACGGCACAGTAATAATATCCATCCATCCATTTTCTTCCCCATAATCCATTTCTGGGTCGGGGGGGTGGCAGTCAGAGCTGCACCCAGTTCACAGAGCACCAGCCCCTCACTGATCCTCCTGCAGGTGGTGAGTCCACAGGAGCCTTGGTCTTTCAGTGGGGGCTTCAGGCAAAGTGGGGTTAAGTGTCTTGCCCAAGGACACATCGACAGCAGACATCAGTGGGAGTCGTGAAGTAGGTCTTATGGTGGGCTCGAACCCAGGACCTTCAGGCTCAAAGGCCAATGCTCAACCAACTGAGCTACTGTCGCCCCTAGTAATAATAGTAATAATAGAAAAGTGAAAAAGAGAGGACCACCTTCACTCAGCCAATCAGCTCTCAGCCCAAACTGTCAAATAGTGAGTTTATTACAAATGTGTAAAATATACCATGTTTTCTCACAAGTGATCTTACTGTCATAATATATTGTGGTCATTACCTTTTTTCACAGAACATTTCCTAATATTCATGAAAAAAGCTTTGAAGGAAACTATTCTTTTTAGGGGAATTTAACCCTTATACACAGAATAATCCTCATTTTGAATGCTTTTCATGCATTAGTATTTTCTATTAACCTCTAGTTTAAAGCTGAGATTTAATCGCCTCCCACTCTGAATATTTGCAAGTCCCTGCAGAGAAATGGTTGGTGATAGGTGGTCTGTGGAAGTGTTTTGCTGTTTGCTGAAGCCTCACATACAGGACAATACTGGTTTACACAAACATGCATGAAACTGAGGAAACTTTGAGTAAGCAAATGATGACACACACGAGGGACCCTCCTATCACAGACCCTGACCACCCAGTTTTTCCATCTACCCATCCCAATCCCAAATTAGTATATTTCTAGGGTCTAAAAATACAAAGTTGATAGAGATAATTGATAATTTGTGCAGATGCAAAAACAAAGGGATATTTTTCTTCTGAATGATGTTTTGAATATTTGAGAATATGTATCCAACAATATAGAACTGTGAAGATTCAGACATATCCTAGCCTCAATCCAGAACTATCTGTCCACCCAGCATATACATAAAGATTTTTGAGATCAATGTATTGTATTCACCAGGATGATGCTCTCGGTGCACAGACTTGCAATAGGGACTTGTCGGTGGCAATGAAAACCTGCAGCAGAGAGACAGAAGAACATTAGTGTGTGCGAGCATCCCATTGATGATCTTTTTATAACACGCTTTCCAGTTGCAAACTTTGGAAACCTGTCAGCTTTCCTCAACTATACTGATGTAAAAGACGTATGCATTATGTGTTATTGGATCTGAATGAGTTGGAGATGGACATGTTAGTGCCATTTGAACCGACTAGGACTCCGAGGGGCACAGGGACTGGTCTCCTGCTGGTGCAGGACTAAACATGGAGAGGCAGCATTTCAGATTCATGCACCTAAGATCTGGAACAGTCTTCTTGAAAATGTGAGACAGGCTTTTTACTCTGGCAATGAGCATAAAACTGAGAGATTTGATCATAACTCTTTTTTATGAACTGTGATTATTTATGATTTTAATGCCTTGCTTTCTTTTCCAATTTTGTTTGGCACTTTGAGTTGACTTCTGTATGAACTGCGCTTAAATTTAAATTTATTCCTTAGAAGTGTTTTTTATTCTCTCTCTCTCTTTCTGTCTGTTGCACTGAGCCAAAGCAATTTCCAAGTCTGTGACTTCCTGTTACTTGCGTGGCAATACAAATGATTCTGATTCTGATTCCGATACAAATTGCGTTGCCTTGCCTTGGAAGGAGTAGCTGTTCGACATTGAATATGGCTCATGTAATCCTCATTGATTTTTAAATGTAAGATTTATTTTGACATCAATTATCAAATCTAATCCATGCAAAATATGACACATAGAATAGCTCCCGTTTCATGCAACATTAGGAGGACCTTTTTAAAAATATATATTATTCAGACCCCTCATAGCCTCTTAGAGCCGCCACTGCTGAGAGATCATTGTTGCTCAAAATCAGTTTTCCATGCAGACCGCCGGTTGCATGGTTACCGGATCAACACACATCTGGGCAAATATCGACAACATCGGTGAGTATGAGGCTTTGTCATTCACTTCTGGCACTTGTGTGTACCTCTGCATTACACATCACAATCTGTCAATCCACTTCCCTCCAGACAGGCACCTCCAAAGGTACATACTGGCCCTTGACCAGGCCCCCTGTGCTGACTGCAAACAATGCATTAGGCCAGGGCCCGATTATCAACGTGCGGGCCCCTGTAAGCCTCATGTAAACGGGGCACGGACGTCTCTGTGTGAGGCCGTGTAGCTCCTTCCCATAGTAAACAAAGCATTACACACCACTGTCAATGATAGTGGCCCCACTGGGAGACGAGTGCCATTAGCTGTTATATCTGTTCTGCTGCTCTCTATGTTGAGCCTGGTTCTACATCAAATTCAATTATATATAACTATTGTTAGGACTGTGAGTTTTTACTTGTCAACCAAAAATGTTATTGGTTGACATTTCTTTAATCCAAATTACATGGATTTCTATGGGAAAACTGAATACAGCACATGCCAGAGAAAATGTGTTAATTTTGGAACATTTCATTTATTTCGTTTATTATGTGCTTTTTAAGGCTCAAGTTTCAACAAGAATGTAACTCAAAGATCATTTTGAGTTATTCTTTTCTGTGATATTATGCCAAAAGTTTTGGGAGTGAACTTTGGGTCAGATAATATGTGGTTTTAAGAGCCTACTCCACGCATCTTTTGTAGTCACTAATCAATTGTGGGCATTTTTGTAGTCCAGTGTTTTTCAACCAGTGTGCCGTGGTACATTATGTGAGAAGATTAGAAAGACATTTTGAGCTCATTTCATTTTCTATCTATATCTACTTTGATTAGAATGACTTTGCTTTCATACTAAAAGCTACAAAGTTCCATGTTTGTATCAGTTTCAGCTGATGGTGTGTCATGTGAGTGTTTTCAACCAAAAAGGTGTGCCACGGCTACAAAAAGGTTGGGAAACACTGCTGTCGTCAACCAACAATTCCTTGGGTCGACGTTTCTACCACAACAAATTTGAATCAAAACTACAGTTACATAGTCATATTACTACATTCCGCACTATGACTACTAACAATTTCTATATAATATGTTTGCAAAGACAAAATAAGGACATTGTTTTATTATTCATCGCCATTATAGATTCCTACTTAATTTATGGCTGCCTTGATCTGTTCTTTGTAAAACATAATCCTTAAAACTATTTATGGTTACTACAAACCATGTAGCAGCCATATGCTGTTAAAATATGTTTTGAATTTTAAAAATTGTTGGTTTGAGTGTACTTATTTGATTGAGTAAACTCCTTGTTATAGCCTTGTTAAAAATGGGCTTGGAGTTTAAAAAGCTACCTCTTCCATCTACAGTTCATGAACAGATTAGTGTTGGGTAGCATTAGAAATAGCCGTGTCAAACCACACCATAGTACAAATAAGGGAAATGATAATTAAGCAGAGTGTACGGATGGCTAAGGCCAGGCTACATTAGAAAGTGTACTGAATGTGAAGTCAATTTCCAAACATAATGATATCCAAGTATAAAGGCCACTCTTAAGTCTCTCATTTGCATTCCGACCACCTCCTACTCTGGTTAGCTTCAATAAGTGGTTTACAGAGTTTTAACGGCTCAACAGCATATTTTGCAGAATAAAACGATACAATGCATTTGTTTTTGTGTATTTGTAGAACCGTAATCCTGTATGTGTGTGTGAGCTCAGCCTGCAGCTGTAGTGAGCTGCATTTGAATGACCATGAATGTGAAAGAAGTCAGCAGGAGACAGTCTGCCTCTCTCTTGCTCACACAGAACAGGAGCTTTAAGTGAAACAAAATATTTTATTTTCACACATAAACTCATCCATTTTACAGTATGTACAATCTCAAAAATAAATCTTCTCGGTATTTGATTGACGAGTCAGTCAAATTCAGATAAAAAAAAAAGAAAAAAAGTGCTTAGAAGGTGAGGGAGCATGGCTTGCATGTCTCGTTTTGCTTGTTCATTTCCCATTAAATAAAAGTACTATCAGTGTTTAAATATAACCACACACAAACTGCAGGAAGTGTCCAGGTGAATGCTTTCATACTATTGACACATGGTCCATTGTACACGCACATTTCTCCACGATCATGTTGGGGAACTCTGCCACTTCGATCTCTGTGTAGTCGCCCTTCTTCACCAGGTACATGATTGGCAGAGGCGCGCTCTCGGCCACAGTACAGCGCCTCTCCCCATAACCATAGTTACGTTTGGGCTGTTTGCACCCCCCAGTGCAACTGAAGGCCTGGTACCCGGCAGGCTCGATGATCCAGTACTGGGTCCAGGTCAGTGCCCGGAAATTCACAAAGTACTGTTCACGGCAACATGTGTCTTTGCTCTGGCTGACATCACAGTCGCCTCTAGACCTGCAGCAGAGAAAAAGTGAGTGTAAGTTAATGAAATTTACTTTGCACAATGTTTTGCCTTTTGTAAACTTAAAATCAAATGTTTGACTTTATTTTTATTCTGACAAGCCAATATGTATTCATGCTTTATTCAACAAATCAGGCACTTTCAGTCTATTTTAGTTATTTTCAGTCTATTAGTTATCAGTCTATCAAAGTCTCCCCATATCTAACTGTGGTCATCATATATGACCATATATTAATTATATTGTTAAACGTAGCAGTTACAAAGCTTATACTCATATGGTCCCATCATCAAAATCAGTGGAGGATCCTTACCCATACTCCTCCAGATTCAGGGTGTAGAGGACGAGCTCTGGCTTCCCTAAGGTGTTGTCTGTCTGATCCTGGGTGGTGAAGCGCACACTCTTGGCCACCTCTGCCGCGTAGCTGCCAGGTCTCTCGCCCTCGATCCACACTTCCAGGTGCATAGGTGTCTTCTGCTGCGTTTTGGACCAATAGTGCACAGCCTGCGTCACATCAAAGCTCTTCCATCCGGTCTCGTGAATTGGGATCAATCTGTGAACGTGTCAATGTCATTAGCCAAATGCAATTATAACAACATCGAGATGAATTTGGCCTGGGTGACATGTAGACTAATTACCGTGAGTCGACCAGGGAGGTGCGGTTGGCGCCATGAGGAAGCGTTTCCACCCAGTAGATGCTGACCCGCGCGTTGTTGATGGGACGGTGGTGTTTACGCTCCAGGGCAAAGCGCTTGTGGAAAGACGCGCGCTGGTACAATTTGAGCTCCGCCATGGTCACTTCACTGTTATCGGGAATCCTGGCTTCCATATCAAACACCATGCGATTCCGTGTCGTGTCAGAATACACATACTCCCCAGAGATATCTACATACAAGAACAGTACAGCTTAGACATGCGCTCACAGTGTGCGTAAAATGGAATCAGAACATGTAGAAGAGGAGTTTACCTGCGTTGCCAGGGATGCCCTTCAAGATACCCGCCAAACTGGGTAAAGATCTCCTTCTTCTGCTGTGGTGTTTCCTCAGTATAGACGTGTACTTGTTTTTGATATGCGCTGGTATGACAAGGTTCTCCAAATCCCTCTTTTGAATTCTAGGAACTTCATCCAATCCAAGTTTTCCCAGCAGTGCGGTCTTCATGTCCTCGTGCGTAAAAGCGGTCGCTCCGAGGAGAAGAGCAGAAAGAAAACAAACCCGGAGCAAATCCATGTTCATCCAAGAGTCAGAGTGATGAGAAAAGTGGCAGCAGCGGAACAGTAGCACAGTGGCCCCTGACACTGCGCAGGGCCCTTATATCTGCAGTGCCCTCCTGCTCCTTCACACCGGGGAAGGGGAGGGGGGCTGGGCCGCTTATCAGAACAAAGGTGCGAGCACACAGCCGCTGAACAGGATATCTTAAGTGGGCATACTTCAAACAACGACAATTAGGCTCGGCGGTATCTGCGATTCAAGAGGTGTCCAATACTAAAACGAGACTTGCTCTTGAAGCTTGTCCCGCGTCTTACACGGAGCTTAATAGAGTAAACAAAACATGTGGACTTGTGTATTCCATATTTAAACCAATGTTTTGTGTCCATCTCTATTGCGCACAGGAGCGGTGCGTAATGATGTTTAGCCTCTTTAACCAGTTCACAGCCATCATAATTGCATTTCAAAAGCTTCATTTGCAGCCCATTAACAGCCGTTGCATAAAATAAATTCCACCTTCAATGCACTCCTATGCTGCTCTTTGTAACGATCTGATTATATTTCAGAAATGCCCTGGACCATCATAAAAAAGTAAAGGATCGTACAACGTATAACTGCCTGTTTAAAGGGAATATGCTATTTAGCTTTACATGTGATTTGACACTTACATAATTATAAAATTTACTCTCTTTTTTGTGCCAATGTATGTGTCTATAAGTCTGGACTTATAGACACTACATTCCAGGCTAAGGTGGTTTTAGAGATAGAAGAGCAGTTTTGGTGCTGAAGCTTGTATTACAAATCCAGCCACTTAATGCGCCTTTACAACTTTTTAACTTTAACAAATGTTGAAATGTTACATCTACATTCTATTTCAATGAGATCTAGGTAATATAATATGATTCATTTTTGGACCATAATTCTTGCATTATGGTTATTGTATATACATTACATATAAAACCACAGTTCAACCTAAAACTCAGCATGCAGACATGAAATTAATTCCCAATTTGTATTAACTTGAAGTATACAACTGCAATGTCCTAGTGCTCATCGCCAGACACTATCTGGTTACGTCTGGATCTTCTAATATTAGTTAATGTGTCTGTACTGGGGTCTAGTCTGATTAATCCTTCTGCAGAAATGGTCCAGTCTAGTCTAATTAACCTGTGGCTGTGGAGAGGCTTTGGCAGGCATCTGTCATCTTCTCTTCCTGTGTGCCTCTCGAGTCTGTCTGACATCTCTGAGCAAACACTCCCAATACACAAGCTCAGACCACCGCTTCTAATGTTTGTGTGACAAAAAAGGCAAGGCAAATCCTTGCAATGGAATCAGATAATCACCACCCTGTGAAGAGCCTGGCCCAATCCACATTGGAGCCTCTTCCCCCCACCATCTCCAGCAGACCACGGATTAACTGTCTGTTTGGCAAATAATTTTAATCTGCTGGACAAAGGTTTGGAATAAACATCTAATGTGGGCGCCCTTATGTGAGACTGGACTGGACACTGCAGGGAAAGTGCAGTGTGTAGTGGCACAGACTGAGTCCAGACTGACATGTGCGGTGGAATGTGTCACTAAGTGTGGGACAGGGGCCGCAGGTTCACAGGGTCAGGACACTGTCTGGACACATGTGCATCTCAGTGGCAATCCACAAAAGCACAAACAGCTTCATACTAAACTACAGCCTGAATGATCGAACTCTGATGCAGTACTGGACAAAAACAAGACTATAACTCAAGGATAAAGATTTTAAGTATGAATTTGACTCATCATTTCTGTCATACATATTTGAATACATAATGTTGTTCATTCCTGTCATGCTCTTCTTAAATTACACACATTGTCTCATCCCCCTGTAACTCCTTCATGGGAAAACGGCAAATAAATCTGGTGTCATTTGAGCCAACATGTTCCCAGTCTGATTCGCACCACACCAGTAACATGGCCACTGGCTCTTGGGAAGAGACTGCAGCAGCTCTGTAGATGACACATATTAGGGATTTAGTGTTAAAAGATATATAAGGATAAGGCTTATCACTTCAGACCTGCATGTGTACGTAATCTTCTGAATCACCTAGAAGATTACTGTAAGTGACTTTTGCATAAAACACGTTATTGTACAAAAAATGGGGACAGATTCATTGTTTATGAATCAGATATAATTCAAATAATATTGTTTGGCTAATCACTCATGAAATAGATCCATATACACAAGGGAGCAAATATATCCTGTAGGTTCAAGTAAATTTGGGTTATAACACACCAGAACAGTGCATTGCGTTTGCAGACTTTGCAGAGCGTTTATTTCTGACATGGCCATTTCAGTGGCGCCTCAGCGCAATAGTCTCACTGAACCTTGAACTACATATGGTCCACATTACAACCCCTAATTCGCGAAATGAAGATGTTCCTTGTGCGACATTTCTCGGTGTCTTTCTTCCTTCCCAATGCCAATCAAAGCCAGCTCCGCTAGTTCAAAGTGCAAGGGATGCAACAAGGTGCCAGTTCTTTTCACCAGAGGCGCTGTACAAGCTCGACAATCCACAGGCCAAGTGTTAATTAACATCCAAATCATTTGCATTCAAAAGCGCCCCAATTTAGAGCTCATTCCCTTCCATTTGTGAAACATGGAATCACCTTGCTTTGTTTGCAAAAGACCCGCTTCAAACATATATACGAATATTGTCAGGAATAGATACGAAAGTATAAAACTTCCCACGGAAACGTGCGCCAAAGAAAGTGTGGTGCGTCACCTGCTTAACCCAATATTGGTCTAATGTTGGTGGCCTCGGTTCTCCAATATGCCTGTCCTGATTCCGCTTTATCCCAAATATTTGCACGCGCAGTTGTAGTTTTCAATTCAAAGGGCCTTTACGCACAGCAGACCCCATGGCGCACACATGCGGCAGCAGACTGTACCCAATCACCATCGCACACAGAACCAGACCTGAGGACCGGACAGGACCGTGATGGGGCCCTCAGGAGGTCTGTGAAGGAGACCTGTAGGAGGCTTGTTCAATGGGATGTGTACTTTCCCAGACCAGGGAAGGGAAAGTCTAATTGCATTTGACGCTTTTGACGAGCAATCAGCGCGTATAGACGGCCTTTAATCCAGTGTGATTTGACAAATGGGATCAGACTTGATTACAAGGAGCTGACGGGCAACTAATTGATCTATGTTTGTTTTTGTGGCATGTAGCCATGATCAATTATACTGAACTTTGTACAACCAGACTTTAACTGTAACAGATGAAAATATTGTAATGGAGACACCTGAACGCAAGAGGGCGACACTATTACAATAATACACTCCGTTCTGATCACGTATTGATTAATTGATTATTGTTGATTATATTGTTATGATTTACATGCACTGAAAACAACACAATCACGAATTCAAATCAGCCAGAAAGAGGGATTGTAACATGCTTTACATTATTAGAGGCTGTGCCAAACTTTAGGCAAGACACGTCAACTACATTGCCTGCAGAGTCTGGTGTTGAACAGGCCGTAGGCACATACTGGTTTCCTTGCTTCTGACAGTCTAGACCCAGGGCAGCTATGGCTATAGTAGTAGCTTATCATAAAAGAATAATGCATAGGAAGTGTCTTTGAGTGTTCCAAAAAAACTATATTTAAAATGTATGCATTATTATTATTATTATTACTGAAAAGTAAAAGTACGAAGCCTATAAGTTGTGATGATGATTTGTCCCTCTGTCTCCTCCAAGTGTGCCTCATTACCATCAAACAGCCTGATGGACAGTTGAATGCTTTGAGATGGTCCCTTTAATGTGTCTCCCTCTCCCAGCCGTCGTCCAAAGCAGACGTGCACTCCGCCTTTCACCCATACAGATTCAAAACATCAAAACATAATGACCGCTAATGAGGATTGGGAGTCATACCAGATCAAAACTACCAACTCACTCTGAACAGCAAAGATCTCTCAATAATCAGTAGGACTTTTAGTTTGAAATCGGAATCAATGAACAAATCAGGTTTTTGATTATTTAGTCTTATATTCCATTTGAGGTGGTGGCCCGCTTGATCTTACTTCATCCAAAGAGTGGTTCCATTGCTGGTGGATCGGGCCCTAAAAGTGGGTCATGGTATAATTTATAAAAAACGACTACATTACTACTACTACTACTACTGCAAAAAAGATAGAAGCTAAAATGTCTTGGTATAAATAAAACATATGACTTCACTCAACTAAGTTACAAATTATATCTATAGAGGAGCGTCTATAGATCCACAAGAGCCTTCTCACTGTTGAAAAAATAAAAAATAAATAAAAGGCATAATTGAGGAATGTACACATTTAAAGCAAAACAATGCTTTTGCAGGAAGCAGACATCAGGCCATTTCACAAAAAGTAGGTCACCTCCAGGACAGAAAGTATACGGATCCACAATATAATTGTTGTCAATAAGAGAATAAACAAAACTATATTCTAGAAATGCTCTCATTTAAATGAGTGATTTGAATTATATAGTTGCAACGTGATTCACAAGGAGAATTCAATAATCACAACATAATATTATTTAGTAAAACACAATTCTGTTATGTTTATAACATCTGGAAACTTCCGACAGAGATCAGACAGAGGCCGTAACATATGACAATATGTTTATGTGCAGTGCAGCACATGGAATAAATGGCAGATGAAATAAGTGAAGCATTTTGCCAGTACTATATAATATTATGCAGTGTTTGCTTTACATTCTGACAGCAGCAGGGAGAAAAGACCAGGGGAACCTGGTATTTGGCCCTGGTAATATATATTTTATTTATTCTAATTTATAGATTGAAACATTGCTCAGCACACAGTTCAATGTGGCCATAAACATACATTTGGAGATTAAATGGATTGCAACGTAATGAGACTTTTTAATGTAAAATTATTGATATAACACCAATTTTGGGGATGACCCAAAAGTGAGAACACCAAAAGTCCATGCTCCAAAGAAAGGCTTATGATAATGTTTTAGTTCTGAATAAGTAGTAAAGTGCATACAGCGTCTCACTAAAACAAGTCCAACTTGTATTTCGATCCCTGAGAATCTTTGCCAGGCCATTGATTCATTAAAAACATATAATATCTCACTCTCACATTATATAATAATACAGCCATGTTTCAGTGGGAGTAAACTTTTCTAATGTACAATTAAATCTATTAATCAATTAAAAAAGATAAGATAAACTTTATCTTAATCGGTATAAGATAAAGTTTATGCTTATTTAGTCAATAGAAATATTTTTGTTGTAAGTAGTCTAAATTGTACAAAACTAATTTTGTATTAGCTTTTCATATTCAAATATGAGCCAGCACTTCTGACAAGTAGAGGGCGCCATTTCATAAAATATAACACGTCTCGGGGCTACAGACCGATAAACAAAAACGGGTACAAAAACAAAAATATATGCAAAAAACGAATTTATCAATCAGAAGCAAGAAAAATACGATTTAGGAATCAAGCATTAAAATTAGTTTCTAACCAAATATGGAACTGCACAAAAAAGACAAAACATCAACCGTGTTAAAAATATTCAAATATTCATTTGTAACAGTCATCTCATTTGGTCTTATTTTGAATACATTCACTGCACTGATGTGAAGCATTTGGAGTAAATAGAAGCATAGAAAATAAGCATACACCTCAATTGAATAGTTATATGTGTATACTATTGTTTTCACTGCATTAAGACTAATTAATATTATTACTAACCACATTTGTGATTAGTAATAATCTGCTTTCTTTCCCACTCTTGATCACTGTCCGTAGGCATCAATCCCATGCTGACTATGATTAAAGTAGATTGATCATCGTGGGGGCGCCACTAAAAACAGTACAATAGGTCTGACATGCGCCTCCTGTACCTGCGACCCACATCTCTGTGTGGAGAGAGAGACAAATGCCCACAATTACAGACGCTATATAAATAAAGATTACTTACTTATTATTCACTTGTGTGAATTCAGTTATGGGGGCAGCAGAAGTACATTCATGAACTACACAATTCCAGAATATACCATCATAACAGACTTCTAAAATTTCAATGAGAAAGAACATGAAGTGAGAAATGTAACCCTGACTCTATAATCAAAATCAAAGACAAGATTGGACATATGGGCCCAGTCCATTTAACTTGTCTAAAAGTTTAAATCTTGTACATAGAGCAAATTGATAGATATAGTTCTCTTTACTATTTGTTGGAAAGACAACAGAGACATGGGACCACCATGGGACACAGGGGGCTCAAGACAGGAGCTTATAGGAAAGAGCCATGTGAATCATTATTTGGCCCTGTCGGCTGAGAGCTGAGTGATCTGCTGATTTTCACTTTTCTATCTGAAAAAGATGGTCTAAAGATGTGACAGAGTTAGGTACCCCATCTTTAATGTAATTGCAGTGTAGCCACCGGGAAATATGACAGATTATGACAAAGTTTACACTTCAAGTTGTTGTCAGAGGCAGTAACAATACAGTGCAAGACTAGAATATTGATAAACTGCAGATAGTTTAACACCTACAAATGCACAACCACCTGCAGTTTAAACAAGTGCTCCTCCTCCTCCATCATGGCGCCAGACAGACACACTTTGCACTCACATCAGTTCTCCGCATCCCGGGCCCTGAGCTCAGCCCCCTCCGCAGGTCCTCCGCAGATCTTTCGTGTGGCAGATGCTGTGACGGGCGCCATGATGATGAGCTGGGATTTTGCCCGCAGCATTCAGCACCAGAGACTCTTCAAAAGACACAGAGATAACCACACACGCACAGCACGCAACAGCGCAACAAAGATGGCGGCGAAAAGCGCATCCGTTTACATTTTGTTCATTTTATGGCTACTTTTCATATTATTGCTGTGTTAAACTGGAAATAAATAATTGCATCACAATTCGATAGTAAAAAAATATGTGAAGCTAAAAGTTTAACAATCAATCTACTGAGCTTCTATATAATGTATCCCCCTTCTACATTTTGAAATAGCAATAAAAAAGGATATTTCAATAGAAAGTGTTATGGCAGCGGTGCAGTCTATCTGCATTTTTTACTGTCATTGTTGATTAATACGGTAAATTATTACAATAATTAGTTGTTGAACTGTCTGGATATATATGTGGTTGTAGCAGGTGCATTATAATATCCCCAATAGGCAGGTACAGGCTATAATTTATACATATACATACATACAATATATATATTAATATTATCGCAATAGGACACATCTGTGGTGAGGTGAGTCCTTACAAAGAATAGAATGAGAAGCCTTATCGAGATACACCAAACTAAACCAGAACATTCCCGTTGCACAGTAGGCTGCAGTGCACCTTTGAAGCTAGAATGTGTAACTTTCAAACCACATTTACCACAACCATGGAAATATATGTAATTAAATCCATGCAACTAGTTTCTAGCTCTAAAGCAGTTTGATTCTGTCAATAGTTTTCACATGCATCCATTTTTGGCCCTGTCACATTTCTCAGCCCAAAGAGTGTAATGTTTCTCACAGCATGTTGTGGCCTGATGTTTTCCTCAATATTTCCCTTTTACGAACAATCTATGTTGAAAAAAAATAAAAAGGTAGGTACCCCAGCTTTAATTGATGCGATTTTGCACCGTTTTCTTCAAGCGTTCATTCATAATTTCCCCTCCCCGTCCCAGAATCCAGTGCGTAGTTGCCAGGCCGGACTCCCCTGTTATCTCTAGCCTTGGATAGTCTCTGTGCTCCGGCTGCTGGTGCTGGTGGCCTGCCCTGACTGCAAAGACTGTCCGACCGGCGGGGGAGGAAGCCGAAGCAAGGAGAGGCGAGAGGACACGGGGCATTTAGGCTGTGTCCCGAATGTGGAATAAGCCAGAGGGCTGAAAGAAGCAGCCTTTCTCCCGACCTCCTGTTTAACCTTGACGTAGAGCTGCATTCTGACGCGGTTTCTCCACCAAAACTATCCCGCAAACTCCGCTCACTGTCTGCTTGTTTGTGGACAAAATGGGATTTAAAAAGAAGCAGTGAGTTGGGAGAGACAAGGATATATTTTTCCACTTGGTTGTTTGGAACTGTGTGAGGCGACAGTACGTGGCATTTTCATTCAGGCAGGTTAGATTGCAATGCGAAACGAAGCGGTAATGTGTTTAGGAGGCGATAAAAGTGACATTAAAGAAGCTATACCCGATTTTTTTTCTAAGTAGTTCATAAAAATGCTTTTTACCACATACAAGTTGTATCATAATACATAATTTAATTGAAAACTTGAGGTCATTGATTCAGCTGTGTATGAAATTTATGCCGTGAAAAGTGCTGAGTAGAGACTGAGCGGGCCGCTCTTTCTCCTCCGCTCACAGAACAAGCAGCGACCAGCCTGCGTCCTCTAGCCTCTACAGCGCTGCTAACACCAGGGCTTCGACTTCAAAATTCGAATATAATTCTAAAATACAAAAATATATATATATTCGAACAAATATTAGACAGCCCTTATAATTCAAAATATATTTAATGACTGCAAATAAAATAGTTAGCTCCCAAAGGTTTCACCGGGACGTGCTAGGCAGGTAACAGCTAAGCTAGCTAGCTGTTTCATGGTAACTTCCGGGTTTTTCGCGATCGCTTTTTGTCACTTTAAAACAGTATTTTTGTCATGAAAACGTTGACAGCAAATTCTGAAATCGTCCGTGCATGTGTGTTAAGGATGTATATGTATACTGTACTGTCCGATTAACGTTTAATGGTGTTGATTGATAGATATGTAGTTGTTTATTGAGCGTGGCTAGCTCAGCTAGCTTCTCTACACAGACAAGTGTGCAGAAAGACTGCACAGTGTAGTGACAGGCGCTGATAGCTTGTACTTGCAGAGTAATGGCAGTATTTAACACACCTGAATTACAAACAGAGACTGCATTGGGGCTGCGGTCATTATTGATTAGAGAGTTCTGTTATCAAGAAAAAATGATCGGAAGAATTGCATTCAAGTCAATGGAGTGTTCTACTGCTGCTGTGAGGAGCTGTATAATAAATTATAATTAAATATTAGAATATATTCTAATGTTTAAATTAATACATTCGGACGCGAAACTAGCGGTATTCTTTTACTTATATATTGTGTTAGCAGTGCATTGCTTTTGTACCATTTCATCAGTGATTGTTGTACAGCTTACAAGAAGTTGTGCTAATGCTAATGTTAGCATACGTATCAGATCGCAAATAAAACTAGGTGGCTCCGTGGGATGAGAGCGTAGGGGAAATGAGAACTCTGTGAGCGAGTTGGGGGGCGGTGCTAAACACTCAAACATTGCAGAAGCGGGTATAGCGCCTTTAATGCCGCCTCGCTGCTGGTTAGCTTCCTGCTAAAGCTAACATGCTAAGCTAACTGTGCTAAGCCTGTGTCGCCCTTCATTCCTGGAGCAGAGGAGGGGCACTGCTGGGGCTTTGTAAGCATTGCAGATCTGTCCTGCATTTTTCCCCGACTCACTGCAAGAATGGAAAACTGCACATATACGCCACAACAACTCCTGGATCTTTGTTGAAACGCGTTGAATTACCCTAAATCTATTTTAGCACTATTCCCACAGCCACTATTTCCAAGAGGAGGGAGCAGCAAAAGTCAGAAAGGGGAAAATCTAGAGCTGGAAGCAAGCAATGGTTTCGGACGGACGATGACCACCGCTACTTTTCTGGGGTAACACAATGGGAAAGTGCAGTAGTGTTCTTCCATGTGAGGAAAATAACGCAAGTGCAATGTGGAAATAGCTGCGGCTCTTCCAAACTTTGTTCTCTCATTATATTTTCCAGGACAAGTTGAGGGAGCTTGAACGCGCAGGCCACTCTACCTTAACTACAAGGCCGTGGAGCAAGTTGTACAGTCCATTCCCCACGTTTTTTTCTATTGAATAACTTTTATTATAACCTGGAGTAAATATGTCGGGAGAGGTGCGTTTGAAGAAGCTGGAGAAGCTGATTCTGGACGGGCGAGTTCAGACCAATGGCCAGTGCCTCAGTGTTGAAACATTGCTGGATATCCTGGTGTGCCTCTACGATGAGTGCAACAACTCCCCACTCAGAAGGGAAAAGAATATCCTGGAGTTTTTGGATTGGGGTAAGTCACTTTATATTGCTGTTTTGTTTATGTTTTGTTGCTGTTAAGTTTGTTGTTACTGGCAGCCCTCCCTTTCCCAAAAACACATTCCTTTTATAGTAGCTGTGGGGCTCACTTAGGCCTGCTCTCTTGTCAAGCCTTCCAAAAAGCTTTATAAAAAGTAATTCAATGCTTGTGTTCACTTTCATATAATTTGAAAATTACCACAAAGGTAAACAGGGACAGAACTTAATTGGGCACAACTATGCAGATATACACAGGACACATCAGCAGTGAATGGAAGCTTAGACAGACCACTCAAACATTGATTTCAAGCCAGGAAAGCTCTCAGAAACATGTCTTGCTTCCATTTGAGTCCATACTTCTCACCAACAAGAGATCCTGCCTGTGTTTTCAACCCTGCTTTGAATACCTCAGTTTGTTTTCCTTGTCATGGGTGTGTGTCAGGTTAAAAGGCTTGTTGATAACGTAGCTTAGCCGCTTTTGTTGATAGCCATCAAATGTAAGTAGAGGCAAAGATATGATCTAAATTTTTTATTAGGTTTTAACTAGGAACATGGAATATTTTGTTGAAAAGGCAAGGTGAATGAGAGAGTGATGGACCACACACACAAAGACACAAATACTAACGGCTCAATCATTGGTGCAACTGCAAGTGCCTGTGACATCCAGGGTTTGGTTTGTGCATGAAGCAGGAATGTGAACAACTCACCTTTTTCCCCCCTGATCTGACGCAGAGGCCCAGCTTTCTGCCAGAGCATGCCTGCCTGGCCTAGCTGTCTTTTTTTTAAAACCCACAGAGGAGACAGGCATCGAGGCAAATTAATAATAGAGCTGATATAAAACAGGGAAAGGTAGACAAGTGTGCCAGGACATTCTTGGGTAACAGTTTTTGACACAAGTCTAATCTTTAATATAAATATCTGTCATGTATTATCTATGCAGCCCTGCCTCTTTAATCTTGGCTGTCAGTCCTTGGGAACCAGTTGGTGCCTGAAGTTTGTTTGCTATTACATTGAACTCGATTGATCCTTTGTGACATATGCCTGAAATTGTCTTGTAGGAGAGGGCTATCAAACAAATCTTCAACTCAACTTAGTATTAGTATTACTAATATTAGTAATAACAACTAGGTATGCACCGACCATGAACATTTTGGTTGATTTTGATATCCGATATTGATTTATGGCCGATGACCGATATTTGCAGATATCGGTGTGTTTTTTCTATTCTGAGTACATACTGAACATTCTGAAAACTGTATATACTGAATTTCTTCCTCTATTTTCAGAATGTATTTTAATTCCAAATACCAAGGATACAGGGCTACCATAAAACATATATAACTAACTTTTACCACTTCTCAAGCATGCCAGTAATCATGACAACATGATGATTTTGTCCTATTTGTGAGAATGGGCAAATTGGTCCAATTTTTTCAACAATGACGAGGATTAAGCGGCTGTTGACGACAGTGGAGATCAACAGAACCACGTCCAAGATGACAGCTCTGATCAATAATACAATAAATAGGGAACAAATTTTACTTTTAACAACATTTTAGGCGAGAAATGTGACCCTTTGTCATTTTGGTTGACTTGTTAAGCTTTAAGTAATAAGTTCAGACTTAAGCTCCAAGGGGAAGCTCCGCAGCAGCCATCTAAAAGCTTAGATTGTACAGCCTGCTTTTAGTTTTTGTATAAAAACACCTTGGTTTGACACGAAACATATATTTAACAGTTCTTTCTCCTTGTCGCCTTGGTTACTACAACCTTATACCACACAAAAACACTGCATTGTATCTATGAAGTCAGCGAAGTGAAGATGGCTGTGTTTGTAGCAGATGCTACGCAGGCTGTTAATGCTAAAGCATTTCTTCTATTCCTCTTTAGGAATTTTCCTAAAAATCGACACCCGATAGAGGTATACATTTTAGCAAAATAGAAACTCCATAAGTTCTCTACTTGATATGAGCAATTGGCACAATTCTACACGCCACAGAAAAACAGCAGTTTGACTCAGAATCAGTGAATATTTACATGGTTCTTAATGGGGAGATTTACTTTCTGTGCCTCGGAGGACTTTCGCACAGCTGCGTGACGTCAGCTACAACCCGACAATACACATTGGTTATGGTTTTCGGCCCAATTTTACTTATCGGTCCGATGCCGATAGGTCAATAAATAATGAACATCGGCCGATATTGATAATTAAGCCAATATATCGTGCATCCTGAATAACAAAAATTTACAATTGCATGCACTTTTGTTTTCTGTCATACTTTGCTTTACCTGTCCTCGGGCGTTCTTCAGATTGTACAGTATTGATTCATGCTGCTTTCAGACCGCCAATTCTGGAACGCTGAAGCCTCGCTCACCAGACGCACATTCTCTAGTTTTCAGACGCAGGGGTCTTCAGACCAGAAGTCCTGGCGCGCGCTGGAAGTGGCGGAAGTAGCCGGCGGGCTCTGATGCTAACAGAGTTAAGCTAGCGGCTTATTGTGTAAAGTTCTTCTTCAATAATGCAGCTTTGCAGACCTTCCACAGACTTATATAACAGTAGTATGTGTTCACGGAGGTGCCCAATAAATGTATTTTATTATTAAACGGTACTTCCGCATCGGCGAACACTCTCGAAGCAGTTGCATTAAGTCACGGGAGCATGAAAACGCATATATGTTCACAAGCACAGAGTCCCACATTGTCAACCCTGGTTTTACTCCTGGTGTAGCTCCTGTTTTGGCTGTTTATATTATGTTCCGTCTGTTCGCTCAAACCACTAATGTCCCCGTGACCACTTTGCGGCTCTCTGATTGGTCGCTGCACGAACGTCCGAGGAAACGTTCAGCAATATTTATCTCCTGCGTGCGTCAATTTTCCGCTCCTGCACCTCCCTTTCGACTTTGCTGCGCACTCCGTGCATCTCTACTGAGCAGTCCGTGAGTGTATTCCGAGACGCACATGCATTTTGACGCTTGAACGCGCGTCATCATTGATTTTGCATTGAAAGCCGACGCAACGCATGATCCGGTCGAAACGCAGCATCAGTCTTCGATCTGTGGCCTGCAGCTGGCTAACTTAATCAATTTGACCACCACCACCACAGTCAAAACACAATTTACGGTAGAGCTGCAACTAACGATTATTTTGTAATCGATTAATCTATCGATTATTTTTACGATTAATCGAGTAATCGCTTGGCTGTGAATTGTGTAGAAAAAATGTATTTTTTTCATCACAAAAAGCTAAAGTGGCAACACTCGAGGACGTATTGATGGCGTAAACTTAAAGTAAATGTTTGTAACAGGCTCTTTGTGCTAATTCTGCTATCTGATTGGATGAGACAGACAGATATTCATGAAATTTTAAAAACAAAGTCGGTTTTAATGAAAAATACTAAATTTTCAGGTCATTTTTACTCTGAGTCCGTGTGAACCAGAAAACGATTAATCAATTACTAAAATAGTTGTCGACTATTTCAATAATCGATTAGTCGTCGATTAATCGATTAGTTGTTTCAGCCCTAATTTACGGCCAGGGAATCACGCTGTACAAGTTGGCAAAAGGGGCACTGCCTGAGCTGCAGCTGTTAATCAAGCCATAAAATATCGATACAATGTTTGTATATCTCTTTTTGATTTTGTTACTAGGTGAACTGTGGTTTAATTACTCACACCTCATATAATTACAAAAATCAGTATTGTGCAGAATGTCTTCCAGTAGTCATCCTCTTGGCATGCATGGCAGGAAAACACTCAAATGGTGTCAGCGTTTGGCTGTGGCTAAGTGCCCAGGGAGCACCATCTGGACCACCTCTTGTAAAACGTGCCAAAGTGGCCTGTGCCTTGCGGAACTACTGGACGGGACCAGATTTAGGGCCTTTTCCTTCTTTATTCCCTCTGTCCCATACGTCCTGCTTCTGGGTTTTTTCACTTGTGCCCAGCTGGATCACACTTATTGCCTTGCATCAATCTGTGCCCAGCCTGTTTTTGGAAATTTACCGTGACATCATAATACAATCCCTTGTGTTGACACTATAAACTTCAGCAGACATAACACACGCTGCAGATGGAACCGGGCGTCTTATTTGTCCTGCATGTCCCAAGAGGCCGCTTGTTATGTGTGCCTCTTCCTCCAGAGGGGCGGAGTGGAGTGTCCCTCGCCCTCTCAAGTTAGCCTTAATGAGTTGAAATGAGATCCAGAGAGACTCCGTGGTTCAACTGGGTGAATTGCATTTTTCAAATTGTGTAGAAATCCCACGTGGCTGATTTTTGCATGCACATGTAGAGGAATTTTTAAGTAAAAAGGTTATCGCATGCTATAAATAACCATTTTTGCAAATAATTTCCCAGCCACGGTACCAAGGATGGGCTTATGCAGCTAATCATAACGCATGAAAAAACACATGATTCATACTATAAGTTGTTGCACATCTTTGCATTATAATCATTGAACTTATTACAATATTACAATTATATTTTTGATACTGTGCACCTCTGTCTTTGCACAATGAGAGGCCAACAATAGGAGGCCATATTGGGAATTGGCCATCACCCTAATTAGTAACCTTGTCCAATGAATATTCATAAATATTTTGTAAATGGATATTTTGCAGTACATTTCAAAGACTTATACACTAAATTCCACAATTGACAGTGATCAGCCAAACTTGTAAATGTATTGTCCATGTTGTTGGCCAAGATTTGTTGTGAGGTTTTTGGTTTCTGAAATTTCCATCCTGTGAGATGACAAAATGATATATTAATCTTGTAAAAGAAAGTGAATTTCTTTATTATTTCCTCTTTTTTCATCAGCCATGTACAAATGGGTTGAGACATTCTTTTTTTTCTGTACCAATGATAGCATCTTCTGTTGTTGTCTCAGGCTGTGGTTGCTAGTGATGTCTGTTTTTGCTCCTTGCCAATGTCAACAGAAGCGCACCTGTTGATGATGACGTGATAATGTTAGACTATTAAACACCTTCCCCTTTTAACATGTCCA